GTTCTTTTACGTGCTCGCTAATGTGTACATGGGACCTCGGTTTTTCATCCCATTCGAACGACTATACATTGTCCCTTGCCAGACTACCTAGGGAGTGATCTGCCTAGTCTAAACTTGTAGTTCCACACATGTATGGTAATGTATACTCAGCCAAATTAAAAACTTGACACTGATGAATTTCAACAAATTTTTTTTTCTGGTAAGTCAAATATATTTTAAAGTGTTTCTAACGATAGTAAGTAAGAAGCATTTAATTTCCTAAAATTGTAAAGTCACGTGGATCACGTGGATCACGTGGATCACGTGACTTTTGAGCATATAAAGATGAAAAACCAGAAAAACACGTGCAAACACAAACTCGTGAGGTCAATCGATGCAAGTTTGCTTAAACTGAACACGCACACGTAACTTGAACTGGAAAAACAAATTAAAATTGTTATTTTCATCTTTGTTAGAAAATGCTGCGCCTTTCAAATTTAGAACGTCTACGTGCTATAGGTAGGCTCTATGCTGGTCAGTCTGTGGTCACTGTTGCAAGAGCCTTTAATTCTTCACACCAGACAATAATTAATCTTAGAATGAGAGTGCTTCAAACTGGAACTATTGCCGACCGCCGAAGGGCGGGAGCGCCACGTGTGCCGTCACTCCAGGAAGATCTAGCAATACGATTACGTCATCTTAGAAACAGATTTGTCACTGCAACCTCCACAAGTAGAGAGATGTTTGGTGGAAGGGTAACTGCACAAACTGTTCGAAATCGCTTGCAGGCTGCTGGTCTTCGAGCTCGGAGGCCCTATAATGGACCAATATTGACACCTCTTCATCGCCGTAACCGACTTGTGTGGGCCACAAGACACATAAGATTTACTCAAAGATAGTGGAATTCGGTTGTCTTTAGTGACGAATCTCGATTTACTTTGAGATTTGCCGATGGCAGGGTCCGAGTGTACCGCAGACGAGGTGAACGTTACGCTCAAGTATGCGTCAGAGAAGTTGACCGATTTGGTGGCGGCAGCGTCATGGTTTGGGGTTCTTTTTGTGCACATGGACGTTCTCCTCTTGTTGTTGTCCAAGGGAACTTAAATGCTGTCCAGTACAGGGATCAGATTTTGCAACCTGTTCGTCTTCCGTTTATGCAGAGACATGGGCCTGGACTAACGTTTCAACAAGACAATGCTCGACCCCATACAGCGATTGCTACAAAGAATTTTTTAAGAAATGCTGGTGTCCAAGTCCTGGATTGGCGTCGCTTAGCCCCGACCTTAATCCTATTGAACACATCTGGGACGAACTGGGTCGACGTGTTCGTCAGCAAGTGAATCCACCACTGACGTTGCAGGACCTTCAACGTTCTCTCTGAGCAGTGGCGACGTCTTCCTCGGGTAGTGTTTACTAATGTTCTGAGATCCATGAGAAGACATTGTGTGGCAGTACGAGACGCTAGAGGAGGCCACAACCGTTACTAAACACTTTATTCCGATTGTTCTCCAAGTCTGTGAATTTCATTTTGGGGGGTACTGTGACATCACGAACGTTATCAATGTCAATGACTTTCGGCGAGACGTATTCTTGCTTTCTGTAGATGTCAAGGTTGTCTGTGCACAACATAACACTAAAATAGTTGCCTTAAACCAAATATTAAAAATCTAGTCCCAAAAATCCTGAGTGTCAAGTTTTTTATTTGACTGAGTATATATATATTATTCTGTATATATGAAAAAATTTAAAATGTTATTAAACCCTTGCTGTAAAATTTTAAAATATTATTAAAGATACATTACGGAAGATTAGATAAAGAGCTGGCAGTTCTCGATATAATAGTTAAAAACTAGATGATTTAAAGGGAATATGCTGAAAATTTCAGCCAATTGCTTCACTCTAAGCTGAGAAAACTTTATTTTAAAATCTTTGTAGCCTCGATTGTCATTGTTAGTGCTGTCACGATAATTAACAAAGTCTTGATTATCAATTTTTATGTTTAATCATCAACAGACGTTGGACAGCAGATCGGATTCAAATCCAATGAAAATCGGACAAATAAGATGGCACTCATTATGAAAATTAATCAGCCAGCTTTAAACTGGACACAAGTACAAATTAGATGATTTTTGGTGATTTTAAATGATTTTTACAAATTTTTAAACAAAGATTTGATGTTAAACAAATGTGAGAGACATTAGTGCTAGATACACCAGTGACCAGATTATATGATACCCAGGTTACAGTGTAAGTACTTATATGTTTAGATAAATACATAAAAAATTAGATTAAAAAATCCCCACTTTTATTTCTTTATTCTGAAGCTGTCTTCAGATGTTACAATGTATATATATGTTCCTGATGATAAACTTATTACGCTCGAAAATCTATCTTGATTTCATGGGAATAGCATAATGAACCTCACTATATAACATGAAATTAAGCTTAAATAAATACACTTACAGGCATGTAAACAATGAATAAATAATTAGAGAACATATGGTCTTGATAACGTCATAGAGAGAACAATTAGAACTACAAAATTCTTCAAAATCGGCTTCACATTAGGGGGTAAATTCAATAATTATCTAGCAGACAAAAACAAAACAAATTAAATTTTCAAAACCATTAATATCAAAGGATAAACAATGTGCTTTAAATTAGACTCATCTCCCAGTGTAAAATTTAATAACGCATGTGAAAAAATGTGTTTCAGCATTTTCCAGAGTTAACAGCCATTTAATTAGTTCATTATGGACTTGGGTATAATGTCTTGACAACATAATACTTTGGTCATTATGGACTTGGGTATAACATCTCGTCAATACAACAGCATGGTCATTATGGACTTGGGTATAACGTCTCGTGGCCACAATACCATGGTCATTATGGACTTGGGTATAACGTCTCGTCGCCACAATACCTTAGTCATTATGGACTTGGGTATAACATCTCGACAACACAATACCTTAGTCATTATGGACTTGGGTATAACGTCTCAACAACACAATACCTTGGTCATTATGGACTTGGGTACAACATCTCGTCAACACAATAGCATGGTCATTATGAGACTAACATATTATTGTTTCTTATCTCTATGGTTACATGAACAAGAAGGAGAATTTGACTTTGTGTGATGAGTTTCCACTCCTGTGAAGATGGACCTTAATGTGGGATTTAGCCTTCAGATGTTTACGAAGTATTTTTGCGAGTTTTAACTGACAGGCAGTGAACTTTAATTATCAGCTTTAGAATTTACATGTCGGTCATTTTTAATATCATAAAATCTGGTATCACTAAGAATATAACCATAAAACACAGTACGTAAATACAGTTAATTTAGAGTCAAGACCGATCACATTATTTCTAGTGCATTTTTTCTTGTAAATCATTACTTTGGGCAAACTACATGAGAGAGAGAGAAATGGGGTTTAACGTCCACTCGACACAAACTAGGTCATTTCGGGACTAACATATGGTTTAATTTTATTTCAATAATTTGCTTGCGCGTAGGGGTCTTTAGCACTGGGAGGAAACCGGAGGACCCAGAGAAAACCCACGAGGTTGGACAGGCGACCCTACTCTTTAACACGTACAACCGGTGATTCAAAACCACGCCAGTCGACTCAATGACAGACTTTATGATACAGCGCGCGCACGCTTACCATTCAGCCATCCCCCCCCCCCCCCCCAAACTACATGAGACAGACCACTTAATGACTGGCCTCCCAGATCCATTCACTTCATTTGATATTTATTGTTAATTTCTAGAAATGTATGTGTAGATTGTCTTCTCTGCAAGGACGGAAGGCCTGACAAGGACAGCTGTCTAGTTGTTCGGTTAGGACGAAAAACCGAGGACCCGTGTACACATTGGCGTGCATGTAAAAGATCCCTTGGCAGTTGGAATTCGATATACGAGTAGGCTGTAGTGCCGCTGCCCGGGCAAAATTTCCCTCACAGCACACTGTATTGCGCATGCCCGTCTTCATTAGCCCAGTATAGGAGCAGAACAGTAGGACGTAAAACCCCATTTCATTTCATTTCATGTTCCCTGCAGGTATTTGTTGCTTATTTCTTCTAATGTCGGACTATGTAGTTTGTTTTGTCCACGGTTTGTCTTGTTGGGTTTATTTTGAGAGAGAGAGAGAGTAAGAGAGAGGGAGAGAGAGAGAGAGAGTAACATATGGTTAAATTTTATTACAATATATCACTTGCATGTTAGGGGTCTTTGAAAGTGGGAGGAAACCGGAGGACCTGGAGAAAACCCATGAGGTTGGACAGGCAACCCTACCTCCTTGTCAGTACAACTGGGCAAATCAAAACCATGCCAGTTCTCCTACACTTACTATCAATAGTTAATACATTTAAAATACAGATGTGACGTCATCCTTTGATGTTGGCTTATCATTATTTCAAATAATGGTACGGGCAATGTGCGAAGCGTACATTATTTATACTAGTTAAAATTTTGGAGCCCCATCCCCCCCTGTCCTGTCCAACCTCGTGGGTTTTCTCCCACTGCTAAAGACCCCTAACACGCAAGCGAATTATTGAAATAAAATTAAACCATATGTTAATCCTGAAATGACCTAGTTTGTGTCGAGTGGACTTAAACTCCATTTCTCTCTCTCTCTTTCTCTATTAAACCAAATATGTGTCTGCTGAAATTTTGAATAAATTGTTTCAATGTCGTTTAGTACTTGAACTAGAATACACAGATCACAATTCCATGAAATACAATTATTGTTTATTACTGATTGATGTTTCGACTAGGCTTCTCTAGTTATTATCAAGCATTAACTACGTATTGCTGTGTACATGTATATATATTGTTTTGTTATATTTTTATACTTTATCATTGCTTGATAATGACTAGAGAAGCCTCGTCAAAACGTTGCTTAGTAATAAGCTGTAATTATATTCCATAGAATTGAGACCTGTGTATGAATATTTGAAATGAGATTCTTTAATTAGTGGGTTTAAAGGGAATCATATAAAACAAACTTGATACTTACCACAGAGAGTTTATATGTTGCTTCTAGCTGTATTGTTATCTTCTTTAATATATTCAGATAATCTTCAATATTATCTACATAATAACAATAATAACAATATCATAATACTCATTGTCACTTTAAATAAAATAAAATATATCAGCCAATTAAACTCTAAATACATTGAGACTACAGAAACTGTTTGTGTGAGAGAGAGAGAGAGAGAGAGAGTGACTAACATAGGATTCAATCTATTTTCAATTATTTGCGTGGGTGTAGGAGTCCTTGGCAGTGGGAGGAAACCAGAGGCCCAGAGAGAGGGAGTTTTATGTGACCATAAATATATATATATAAAGCTTGATACGGCTAAAACAGTTTAGCCCAGTTACTGGAGATGCAGGTAGATTTGAGTCACGTATGGTATGGCATGTGCTTCATGAGGCGCTGGAGAAGCTGCGCCTAAACCACGAAATTTATTTTTCCTCTGCCAAACTTGCCCTATGACTTATCTACGCCATATTCCTGAAGCAACGACTGCGGGTTTCACAACATCTGGCTGTTGCTTGTTTACTTCACAATTCCCGAACTTATAGCTATGTTATCTACAGACACGTGAACAGTAGCGTCCAATCAGAGGTTGTGACATCGCGACCTCCACGGAAACCTTGACATTGAATGAACCTTGAACTTTGCAACTCGATTATCACAGGTAGACATTTTAGCTTGAAAGCGTGAGACTTGGTAAACTAACAGGCTCACAAGTTGGGCTTGTACCCAATCGAAATTAGTGCCGCAATATGCAGGGTATTACGTGAAGGCATTGATAAGATGTACGTAGTTAAAGCGAGATCAAGCCTTCTATTGAAGATGTATCTACGCATGCTTCTAATACACCGAAAAATATGGTACTTGAAAGCTCATTAGGAACTAAGTGTTTAGTAATAATGCCCTACATAAATCCTGATAAATAAAATTAAACCATATGTTAGTCCTGAAATGACCCAGTTTGTGTGTCGAGTTGATGATAAACCCTAATTCTCTCTCTCCAGTTTCTGAAATCCTGCACAAGTAGATTTAATATGCTTTATGTCTTCCTGGTTTACCTCCCCTTATCTCATAGAGACGAAAAGAGAAATGGAGTTTAAAGTCTGATCGACACGAACTAGGTCATTTAGAGACTAACATAAGGTTCAATTTTATTTCAATAATTCCCTAGCTTGTAGGGGTGTTTAGCTGTGGGAGGAAACCAGAGGGTAGAGGTCACAGAGAAAACCCACGATGTTGGACAGGTGACCCTAGTCCTTGTCACGTACAAACGGGGAATGGGTTTCACACCACTTGACTCAATGACACACCTGGTGATATAATGCACACAAGTTCAACAATTCGGTTTGACACCCCCCCCCCCCCTCTCCACTTTGATAAAAAAATAAATTCAAAACCCATTTGTTTGTTACAAATTATCAGGATTAGCTCATGCAATATGGATTGAGTGAGCGCAATCATAAATGTACATTATTATTATTATTAACTCCCCACGACTACAGCATATTGAGTGCAATCATAAATGTACATTGCATTATTTTTCTTATTACAGTTAACAAATTAAGACACACAAGACGTAAAGATAATATTTGATTTTGACAAGATTTAAAAAGCAAGTAGTCTGAACAAACCTGTCAGTGATACTTGTTCATCTTTGGTTGTAAAAACTGGTTTTATTCTTAATCTAAAATAAACAAAATGATATCGGGTTTAACAACCTACTGTTCTGCCCCAACTGGGCTACTGAAATCGGGCATACCCAATATGAAATGAAATGAAATGAAATGGAGTTTAAAGTCCTACTGTTCTAAATGAAATGAAATGAAATGGGGTTTAACATCCTACTGTTCTGCTCCTATACTGGGCTAATGAAGACGGGCATACGCCATACAGTGTGCTATGAGGGAAATTTTGCCCGGGCAGTGGCGTTACGGCCGACTCTTATATCGAATTCCAACTGTCAAGGGATCTTTTACGTGCACACCAATGTGTACACGGGACCTTGGTTTTTCGTCTCATCCGAATGACTAGACAGCCTTTCTTGTCAGGCCCTCCGTCCTGCATCACTGACAAGGGGAAACCACACCGGAAAATCTGGATGAACTTTCTCGGCAAATGCAGGGATCGAACAGCGCTTATCCACTTAGCCACCGTGATCCCCACCAACTGTTCTATCCCGACTGGGCTAATGAAGTTGGGCATACCCAATACAGTGCGCTATGAGGGAAATTTTAATTGGACAGCAGTACTATGGCCGTATCTTATTTAGAATTCCAACTCTCAAGAGTTATTTTACGCACACAGTAATGTATACATGGGTCCTTGGTTTCTCGTCCAATCTGATTGACTATACGTTGTCCCTTGCAGGCCAGTCCCTCTTTCCTGCACCACTGACAAGGTGGAACGACACCGGAAAATCCTTAGGAATTTTTCCCACATCAAATTATATTCATTTTGTTTTTAATAATATGTATGTGCCTTTACTGGGCGTATGGATACAATAAGATCTTATCTTATCTGTGGGAATAATTAACTTACCTTTCCCAGGAGAATATTGGTTGTGTTAAGTAATTTATACTGGCTTTCTTCTCATTCATAGAACCTAGTAAAATAACATTTATATCATAGTTTATTTCCTTCAAGTTGAAGTAGATGATGGTGATAATGATGATTAAAGGATGAGGGTGGTGATGATGATAATTAAAGGATGATGATGATGATAATAATGATTATTAAAGGATGATGATGATGATGGTGGTGATAATGATGATTAAAGGATGATGATGATGATTAAAGGATGGTGAGGATTAAAGGATGATGATGGTGGTGATAATGATTAAAGGATGATGATGATTAAAGGATGATGATGATGATGGTGACGATGACAGAAAGATTAAAGCTACATTCCCAGAAAAGTATCTATTGGGTGGTTATTTCCAATAAAAGTATGGCAATTTTGGTATATATGGAAAGTAAAATTATACAATCTTACTAGAAAAACACTCATGGAGCGCATACAGGACAAAATTGTACAGGTTTCACTAATCGACAGCCCGACGATTAGGAGTGTCTGCATGTGTGACGGCGAAAGTTGCCTGCGGAGATTGAGCGTTTGATGTACATGTTGATAAACTTTATGAAAAGTTAGACGTACGACACTTTCTGAGATAAAAATCACGGAAAAAGACGCGGGCAGTTGATAATCGGAGAATTTAATTAGGCTTCAATATTTGTAATAAATAGTCAGCGATAAAGGCAACATCGTCTTGTGTATGCAATGAATTCTCCTCCGACCTTGCACCAACTGTGTCACGTGACACAAACATGACCTCTTTTGATTGATTTTTTATAGCTGGTTATTCCCTGACAATTGCAATGTTTTGAGAAGGATTTGAAGCAAAATTATGGTAAATTACTTATTTTGAATATGTTTTTAGTCCAAAAATATCATCAAATCACCCAGTTTGTACCCGGGAATGTATCTTTAAGGTGATGATGAAGATTAAATGATGATGCATATAGTAAATTTCATCTTAACAAATTAAAAACTTGTTCAAACTAATTAATCTGATTTGAAGAACTGTGTTTTAGCGTTATGTGATGGGGTATGTTCTATACAGTGTTTTTGTATCTGTTGACATCAGATCTTATGACAGTTTCAGCAATGCTTGTTATGTGGGACCTGTTTCCTGAGTATTACATTTTCAAGATGAAACCATACCTGTTAGCTAGGTGAGAATAAAATTCTAGTAATATAAAGAATGAAGTCACTCACCTGTTAGCTAGGTGAGAATAAAATTCCAGTAAGAATGAACTCACCTGGTAAAAGTGAAGAGAAGTTTTGTCCTGTAAATTTACCATCAGGCACAGACTCTTGAAGTACACTGTTAATCTTAAAGAGAGAGAAAAAGAAAGAGAAATGGGGTTTAAAGTCCACTCAACATAAACTAAGTCATTTCAGTACTAACATATGGTTAAATTTTATTTCAATAATTCGCTTGCGAACATGTCTGAGAATGTTTGTGAACTCAGGGGCAGGTCAATCAGTGTGCTCACTCATTTGTGGCGGAAACATGGCAAAATTTTCCACGCAGCAAACTGCATTAATCAAATCTATTTCATTTCATTTCAGCGATTTCTAGCTCTAAACAAAAGATACGTTTTTTTTTAACAAAACCCTCATTCCACTCCCTTTCTCCTCACGTTTCCAATACAGATGAATATGAGTTTCATTAAACATCCAAAATATAATTTATTCCGACAATCCTGCACAATTCCTATTTCTTTTCATTTTTCATAGTTCAAAATTTCGTTTACTTGTCTTTACTACACTAGGATCTGGAAGAGTTGTTATAAAACAGGCGTTCTAGTTGATGTTATGGCAAGTTCGTGGCATGCTCTGCATGGAACTGTGGGTAAACCACTAGAAAGGTCAACGCTGATTGATTAATCAGTGTCCGACGTCATAAGGTCAAAAGCTGCTCGTATGACACCTGACGCTACCTTCCTTTACAACTGGTCAGATCTTCGTATAGGGTAGGCCATCGAAAGTATAAAAAAACGAAACGAAATATAGATCTTGTATTTTAATCCGATTGGCAGATGTCCTAGATGTATTTACCTACCTTGTTATCAGCAGCGTTAGTTAATAACGCGTAATAAAATCTGGCTCTATCCTGTATATCTGTATCATCACAAACAATGGACATCTCATACAATAACTCTCCTAATTCTAAAATATACAAATATCACTGCAACTATTTCAACGAACATTTCCTTTCAACCTGCAACTAATCTGTCTATTAACCCTTTAATCGACATGGGCCTGAATGTTTTAACCATTTGACCATTGAGTCCCTGTTCATCAGGATTTTGCGGTACGGTTTCCCTTGTCAGTGGTGCAGAATGGAGGACTGACAAAGACAGGTGTCTTGTCGTTTGGATGGGATAGAAAACTGAGGACTTGTGTATACATTGGCGTGCACGTAAAAGATCCCTTTGCTGTTTGAATTTGATATAAGAGTGGGCAAAATTTCCCTCATAGCCCAGTAGGAGCAGAACAGTAGGATGTTAAACCCCATTTCATTTCATTTCATTGACTCCCTTAATGTTTTAACCATTTGACCATTGAGTCCCCAAATATCTCAACCTTTTGATTGCCAAGTCCCTCAACATATCAATGATTCTATATTGTATGTCTTTAAATAAAATAGACTTTTAGTATTTTAGGTAAAGAGAGTTCTATAAATAATGATTGTTAATCTTTATAAATACGGTTTCAGTGTATGTAACAGTAAGGACTAGTCAAAGTCTTGTTCACTGAGCCCCCACAGCTCCTTATTCAACAGAGTTTTGTCTGAATAAAATAGAATGGCTTTGTTTTAAACATTGAGCCAAGGAAGCTCTCTGTTAGTTTTTATAAAGAATGTTTGCTGAGTGTGTGTGTACCAATAACTATTGTCTGGAGTGTATCATTACTGGTAGGTTTTTTCAACAATTGTCTGAGTGTACTTACCAGTAAAGAGTGTTTCTGTATCTTGGTGTGATAAAATATTTCTACAAACAGTTAGAACAGCATTTCCAAAATACCATCCACATAAATCATTATATAAACTACACTTCACTAGTCCTTGTAGATATACAACACTACTCTATAAATATATATTATATATATCAGATATACAACACTACTCTATAAATATATATTATATATATCAGATATACAACACTACTCTATAAATATATAATATATATCAGATATACAACACTACTCTATAAATATATAATATATATAAGATATACAACACTACTCTATAAATATATAATATATATATCAGATATACAACACTACTCCTTGTAGATATACAGCACTAGTCTATAAATATATAATATATACTAGATATACGACACTAGTCCTTGTAGATATACAACACTGGATGTGTGTAAAACATCAATAGTTGCTATGGAAGATATAGTCTGGGGTGTGTAAACATCAATAGCTGCCATGGGAGATATAGTCTGGATGTGTGTAAAATATCAATAGTTGCCACGGGTGATATAGCCTGGGTGTGTGTAAAACATCAATAGTTGCTATGGGAGATACAGTCTGGATGAGTGTAAAACATCAATAGTTGCCATGGGAGATACAGTCTCTGGAGATGTGTAAAAAAATAGTTGCTATTGGAGATATAGTCTGGATGTGTGTAAACATCAATAGTTGCCTTGGGAGATATAGTCTGGAAGTGTGTAAGACATACATACCTGTTGATTGAGTTCTGGTTCTTTAGCAGATGTTTGAAAGACTTGTAGATAAAAACCATATTGATTTAAAACATCCTCATATGATATTGATAGAACAGATTTATGTAGGGTTGATAAAATATCCATATAAACATTGCTACTGGAAAAACAAACCCATACAATTAGTTTAACATAGATGGGAGCCACTGGGTTATGTCATCATTTGCCCGACTGGTGCAGAAAAACCCAATTTGATTTTATTTCAACCATTTCGAATATAAACATCTATGAAATGAAATGAAATGGAGTTTAACATCCTACTGTTCTGCTCTGAATTGGGCTAATGAAGACAGGCATATTCGCCATACAGTGTGCTATGAGGGAAATTTTGCTTACTCTTATATCAAATTCCAACTGTCAGGGGATCTATACGTGCACGCCAATGTGTATACTGGACCTTGTTTTTTTGTCCCATCTGAACGACTAGACAGCTGTCCTTGTCAAGCACCCAGTCCTGCATCACTAACAAGGGGGAACCATGCAGGTAAATCTGGATAAACTTTCTCGGCCAATGCAGGGATCGAACTCGCGACCTCCAGGCTAGCGAACCAGCATCTTACTCACTTAGTCACTGTGACCCCCCCATAATAACAACTATGATAACAGTTTTGAATTACTTGAGCCGAAGACCAAAGTCAATGCCATCAACTTATGGCTAAATGGCTTCTAAAGTGTTCATCTATATATAGCACCACATTTTAAGGTAACTGATCATTTGCTTGATAACGATACCTGTATGAGTATTGAAACGTGTCATGTTAATAAAATTCAGAAGTAGTACATCCAGCTAAGTGTTTTAATTTTAGTGAAATCTATTTCTATATGACTTATAAAAGGATCAACTTATACTCTGTTCCTAAGTGTTAATTTGTTAATCTCTTTGCTGTCACTGTCTGTTTTTTTTTCTCTTTTTTTTTTTCTTTTTTTGCCCAAGTTTTCTTTGTACAAGATTCTATAAATTTATAGATCCAGTCTGCTTAAAATATAGATCCTATTTCGTTTCGTTTTTTATAGTTCAAAATTTAGTTTTACTTGTCTTCACTACACTAGGATCTTGAAGAGTTGTTATATAACGGAATTCTAGTTGATGTGAGGAATTAGCCAACGAAACGGTCTATTACGGCAAGGTATTGGCATGCTCTGCACAGAACTGTGGGTAAACCCATACAAACGTCAACGTTGATTGATTAATCGATGTCTGGCATCATTGGGTAAAAAACCGCTCGTATGACCCTTGACGCAACCTTCCACTACAACTGGTCAGATCTTCATGTAAGGTAGCCCATTGAAAGTATAAAAAAAAAAAAAAACCGAAATATAGATCTGTATTTGAATCAGATTGTTATAGATCTTACCTATGAGGTGAACAATCTCTGACAGACTGTAGAAAGTTTAATACTAGTGGTATTAATGATGGATAGTTTCCCAGTAAGTTGTGGGTTATGCTGAAAATAGAAAAACATCACAAGATTCTATAAAGTGATCAGGCTCCATAAAGAAATAATTCTTGTAAATGATTTAAAGTTAATAGGATTGTGTCTCTCTAATCTGAACAGTGAATATAGAGAGAGAAAAATGGGGTTTAATGTCCACTCGACATAAACTAGGTCATTTCGGGACTAACTAAACAGTCTATAGTTGTATTTTAAGTATAAGACAGCAACTGCTTACCAACATGTTATTCGAAATAAAAATGCTATTTTATTTCAAACCTACCTCTACATATGGTGTATTAGTTGTGATCTAGAGTTGTTGTATAACCCTACCTCATGGTGTATTAGTTGTGATCTAGAGTTGTTGTATAAACCTACCTCTGTATATGGTGTATTAGTTGTGATCTAGAGTTGTTGTATAAACCTACCTCTGTATATGGTATGTGATCTAGAGTTGTTGTATTAACCTACCTCTGTATATGTTGTATTAGTTGTGATCTAGAATTGTTGTATCTAGAGTAGATGTGATCTAGAGTTGTTGTATAAACCTACCTCTGTATATGTTGTATTAGTTGTGGTGTAGAATGATGTTTATAGTATTTATACAGAGATCTGTATAAAGCTAGAGTTGTTTTAAATCCACCAGTCTTTTGTGACAGATGTTGTAAATAATTAGAACATTGTAATAATTTGGCATTAAAATCTTCTCCTAGAAAAATAAATTGAAATCCAAACCATAAAAAAATTTCTCGATTCAACTAAGATCTCACGAGTTTTTCCAGTTGATTTTCAACTAGTCGTTACATTGAATATCCTAATAATCTTTTAGAGGCATTTAGTAACTGGATGGAAATTAAATGAAATGGGGTTTAACGTCCTACTGTTCTGCTCCGAACTGGGCTAATGAAGATGGGCATACGCCATGCAGTGTGCTATGAGGGAAATTTTGCCCAGACAGCGTCACTATGGCCTACTCGTATATCGAATTCCAACTGTCAAGGGATCTTTTACTGTCAAGGGATCTTTAACGTGCACGCCAATAAGTACATGGAACCTTGGTTTTTTATCCCATCCAAACAACTAAACAGCTGTCCTTGTCAGGCCCTCGGTCCTACATCACTGACAAGGGGTAACTGGATAGAGCAATACACAAAAACACATACTTATGTAAAAACAGCTACTTATTTATTTGGGCGACATTTCGAAGAGTAGTCTCTCAACGTTATCAAGCTAATACAGTAATACAAGAATATATTTAGAAAAACCATAACAACAATTCATGAAACCATACAGGACAACACCAAGATCAAAGGGGGTTATTCTACAAAAACTAATTAACACTAAGGTTAAGTGAAGTCAACGTTGCCCAAATAAATAAGTAGCTGTTTTTCCAAAAGTATGTGAATATCCTATTTAATTGAAATATTCAATCCCTTGAAAGCTGTAAATAAAATGTGAACATCGAAATAATTTTGTGTTAAAATCTTCTCCTAGAAAGGGGACTGGGTGGTCGAATGGTTAACGTGTGTGCGTTCCATCATAAGATCTGCCATTGAGGCAAGTGGCATGGTTTCGATTCCCTGCTTGTATGTGACACTGATTAGGGTCGACTTGTGGGTTTTCTCCGGGTTCTTCAGATTTCTCCCAGTGCTAAAGAACCCTACGCGCAAACGAATTAATGAAATAAAATTGAACTATATGTTAGTCCCGAAATGACCTAGTTTGTGTCTAGTGGACGTTAAACCCCATTTCATTTCCCTACCTTGATCCTGCCTTTTACTGGAACATAGCAGTGATAGTTTCCCTACTTGTAGATCTAGACTATCAAAATCACCAGGATAGAACTTGTCTTGATAATTGTGACAAACAAACTCTGGTAATTTGGTGTCTTTAACTTCTGAGCCATACTAAAATTATAATCAATCATAATTTTATCAATAAACAGAAATGGAGGTTGGTTTACATACCTATTCAGGTTTTACTAGCAGTCTGATTAGAACACAAATCCTATTTCGTTTCGTTTTTTATAGTTCAAAATTGCGTTTTACTTGTCTTTACTACACTAGGACCTAAAAGAGTTGTTATTTTAACCACGTTTTGGTTGAAGTGGGGGATAAGCCAATGAAACAGTCTGTTACGGCGACTTCTTGGCACATGCACGGAACTGTGGGTAAACCACTAGAAATGTTGACGCTGATTGATTAATCAATGTCTGACATCATAGGGTCAAAAGTCGCTCGTATGATCCCTGACACGACCTTCGAGTACAACTTGTCAGATCTTCATGTAGTGTAGGCCATCGAAAGTATAAAAAACGAAACGAAATGAAATATAGATCTGTACTTTAATCAGATTGGATTTACTAGTTGTAATTTTTTGACCTAGCAAATTATAATTTATTAATATTAGTACAATACTTACAATTTCATATCCTTTTAACCATTGGACAAAGAGAAGTCTATGGGCAGGACTTAGCAAGGGATGATTGACACATGTAACAAGTCGTAATAATAATTGTTGCTCTTCAGGTGATGTAAGAACTTCTCCTTCAAATTCTTTCTGCAATTCAAATAAAATGATACATGTTGAAAGCCAACAGGCGATATAAAAAATTAGGTCAAAATATTGCTAAATTCTCTTGAACACAAAAATCTAAATCATTGTAAACATAAAATGAAATGGGGTTTAACGTCCTACTGTTCTGTTCCGTACTGGGCTAACGAAGATGGGCATACGCCATACAGTGTGGTATGAGGGAAATTCTGCCTGGACAGCCGCGTTATAGTCTACTCTTATATCGAATTTCAACTGCCAAGGGATCTTTTACATGTGAACAATCATATGCTGTCTCTGCCAAGCCCTCAGTTCTGCACCACTGACAAGGAGGAACCACACCGGAAAATCCCGATGAACTTTCTTGGCCAACTCATGGATTGAATACAGGACTTGCAGGTTAGCGAGCCAACGTCGTATCCACAGAGCCAACGCAGGGATTGAACACGGTACCTCTAGGTTAGTAAGTCAACGTCTCACTATTATTTCTTTTAATATCATTATGATTGTTATCATTTCTATTCATATCATTATGATTGTTATCATTTCTATTAATATCATTATGATTGTTATCATTTCTATTAATAGCATTATGATTGTTATCATTTCTATTAATATCATTATGATTGTTATCATTTCTATTCATATCATTATGATTGTTATCATTTCTATTAATATCATTATGATTGTTATCATTTCTATTAATATCATTATGGTTGTTATCATTTCTATTCATATCATTATGGTTGTTATCATTTCTATTCATATCATTATGATTGTTATCATTTCTATTCATATCATTATGATTGTTATCATTTCTATTCATATCATTATGATTGTTATCATTTCTATTCATATCATTATGATTGTTATCATTTCTATTAATATCATTATGATTGTTATCATTTCTGTTAATATCCTTATGGTTTTTATCATTTCTACTAACATCATTATGATTGTTATTATTTCTATTAATATCATTATGGTTGTTATCATTTCTTTTAATATCATTATGATTGTTATGATTTCTATTAATATCATTATGGTTTTTATCATTTCTACTAACATCATTATGATTGTTATTATTTCTATTCATATCATTATGGTTGTTATCATTTCTTTTAATATCATTATGATTGTTATGATTTCTATTAACATCATTGATTGTTATTATAGATAACTAACCTGAAGATAAAGAATCAGGTGAAATACCATTGGATCCAGTGTGGCCATGTGATGTAATATCAGTTGTTTAAATATCTAAAATAAAAGATAGGTTGCCAGTCAATTACTCTCACAGCAACCAAGTCGTTCAAACAATCCATAGAGGTTGTCACATTTTTATTCTTTTGAGAGAGAGAGAGAGAGAGAGAGAGAGAGAGAGAGAGAGGGTGAGAGAAATGGGGTCTTCTTTAGCAGTGGGAGACCGGAGGACCCGGAGAAAACCCACGAACCGGGGGAATCGAAACTAATCAATCAGTTGACTCAATGACAGACCTTATTATGACACAGTGAGCATGTGCTAAACATTCGGCCATCCACCCCACCTTTAGAGTGACAGGTTAGTTGCTGAAGCCACACTATGATAAATAAACACCAGTTTTTCCTATCAACCGATCCTTTTGGGAGGAAAAGACACTGTGTCAACACACATATTATTTCTTTTGGCCGTATCGATAAATAAGTCATTATAATGATCTATACAGTTATATTACTTACAGAAGGAGAAATATCGGTGGAAGACTGTAAAATATTGGTTAACGATTTAATAATTGACCAAAGACCCGCTGACGTAACCAGCGCCACATTCTCCATTATATAGGATATATCTGGTAGTAATTCCTGACTATCAATTAAAGACGTACTTCTCTCCACTACTGCCTAAAATAAACACATTTAAATAAATTTTATTTTCCATAATATTTGAAACAAGCCAAAAGTGAGGCTGATGTCCCAAAATAAATAGATGACACATTTTAATTTATCGCACATTAATAATTTAAATAACATTTCAGGCTTAGGAAAGACCTGAAATAGGCAGATTTAGCTCTTGCATAATGCATCTTTAACATATTTTTAACATAATGTGGAACTTTGAATTAAAACAGATGATAAAACAGATGTTGTTAGCTATGTTAAACATTACCTTGTCTTTTTCTTGTTCTGTCTTTGTACCATTATCATCTTTTCTATAAAAATACAAGACGTGGACCAGATAAAATACAAGATGTAGACCAGATAAAATACAAGATGTAGACCAGATACATGTAAAATACAAGATGTAGACCAGATACATGTAAAATACAAGATGTAGACCAGATACATGTAAAATACAAGATGTAGACCAGATACATGTAAAATACAAGATGTAGACCAGATAAAATACAAGATGTAGACCAGATAAAATACAGAATGAAATGAAATAGGGTTTAACGTTCTACTGTTCTGCTCTGACTGGGATAATGAAGACGGGCACATATGGCCTACCCTTATATCTAATTCCAACTGCCAAGGGATCTTTTACGTGCAGGCCAATATGTACAGCACCACTGACCCAGGACCTCCAGGCTAGAGCCTTACTCACTTAGCCACCGTAGCTTCCAGATAAAATACAAGATGTTGACCAGATAAAATTTGAATACATTAATTATAAGTCAAGTTATAATAAAATATATGACAAATGGTATATATGTACGTATAGGGAAGAGGTAGGACACATCGGTGTATCTATGTACTTACGATGGAGCTGCATGGAGAACAGATAGGACACAACAGTGTATCTATATATGAAATAAGCAGTGGAAGACGACAACAACTCTCGTAAAGTAGGTCTAATGTAGTTGGAGACTAGTAGTAGGAGTACATCTAAACTGGGATCTCAGCGATACATAAGGGGATTCAGGAAGAGAAAGTGAGAAATGGGATTTAACGTCCACTCGACACAAACTAGGTCGTTTCGGGACTAACATATGGTTCAATTTTATTTTTCAATAATTCTCTTGCGCGTAGGGGTCTTTAGCAGTGGGAGGAAACCGGAGGACCTGGAGAAAACCCACGAGGTTGGACAGGCGACCCTACTACTTGTCACGTGTTTCAGGAAGAAGATGAAATATGTAGAGAAACAACGCCTATACCAGTGAAGATAGACGAACTCCCAGGTAGTAATCATAATCGTGTACTGAAGAAGGACACCTATAGTCCAAAACGTCTACACGAATAAATTTGTTCATTACTATCTAGGAGTTTGTCTATCTTCACGGGTTATAGGGGTTGCTTCTCTCTCTATATATATACATATACTTATACATGTATATATATATATGTGTGTGTTAACGAACTTACGATAGAGCAGCCTGAAGAACTGTAGACAACAACTGTATATAGTCCTGACCAACATGTGTCTTCTCCTGTTTTACTAAACTTAATAATTCATCTTTATATTTTTGTAATATACCCTACAATATTATTAAACATAAGTTAAAGTTACATTTTATAAGATTTAGATAAAGAACTTTTACTCTAGAATAACAATCTGATTAAAACAAAATGAAATGAAATGAAATGGGGTGTAACGTCCTACTGTTCTGCTCCTAACCTGGGCTAATGAAGACGGGCATACGCCATACAGTGTGCTATGAGAGAAATTTTGCCCGGACAGCGGCACTACGGCCTACTCTTATATCGAATTCCAACTGCCAAGGGATCTTTTACGTGCACGCCAATGTGTACACGGGACCTCAGTTTTTCGTCCCATCCGAAAGACTAGACAGCTTTCCTTGTCAGCCCCTCCGTCCTGCATCACTGAAAAGGGAGAACCACGCCGGAAAATCTGGATGAACTTTCTCGGCCAATGCAGGGATCGAACACCCGACCTCCAGGCTAGCGAGCTAGCGTCTTACCCACTTAGCCACGTGATCCCCTGATTAAAACACACATCCTATTTCGTTTCATTTTTTATTGTTCAAAATTTTGTTTTACTTGTCTTTACTACACTAGGATCTGGAAGAGTTGTTATCATTGACGTGTTCTGAATGGTGTCAGGGCTTAGCCAATAAAACAGTCTGTTACGGCGAGATATGGCGTGTGGTGCACGGAACTGTGCGTAATCCACTAGTAACATCAATACTGATGGGTTAATCAAATGTCTGACGTCATAGGGTCATAAGCGACCTTAACACTACAACCAGTTAGATCTTCGTGTAGTAGAGGCCATCGAAAGTATAAAAAAAAAAAACGAAATGAAATATAGATCTGTATTTTAATCAGACTGGAATTTCAGTTGTTAAATCATCAGTCTCCCTGAGTGGCTCCCCTTTAAAGGAAGATATGGAATGATAATACAGTCAATATTTATGCCATTGAATAGTCTAGAGAGTTGATAAATATGGGCTTGTCATGCCTAAACAAATATTTATATAACATTTGAAGCCAATCAGAGACCTGCAATAGGCAGATTTAGTTCTTACATAATGCATCAATTAACTTTTCTGATTTAAAGAATCCATCTTATGGTTTATTAAAGTTTTACATGAAAAGTATTGGCATGACATGTAATAAAAGAGTAAAGAGTAAGTACAACTGTCTGGCCAATCCGTTTTACGTTATTACTGAATGCGAAGATAGATACTTACAGGAGCTGAATTTTCTAACTGTATCAAACTTTGACAACAACATCCACGAATTCTACGACTTGGTACGTGATTGACATTCTTTATAACATTCCATAATCTACTGATAACATTACCACCTAATGATGTCCCCTAAAACATAAAATAAGTTCTACTGTAATAACTAGACTTATGATGACAGAGAGAGAGAGAGAGAGAGAGAGAGAGGGAGAGAGAAATCGGGTTTAACGTCCACTCGACACAATCAAGGTCATTTCGGGACTAACGTATGGTTCAATTTTATTTCAATAATTCGCTCCCGCGTTGGGGTCTTTAGCAGTCGGAGGAAACCGAAGGACCCAGAGAAAACCAACGAGGTTGGACTGCCGACCCTACTCCTTGTCTCATACAGCTGGGGATCGAAAACCACATCTCAATGACAGACCTTATGATACAGCACGCATGTGCTAACCATTCGGCCATCCAACCCCCCCTCCTTATGATGGCAAATCAATGTCTATATTTTCTGGTTATTTGATCAAATATCTTAACACTTGATGGTGTATTATTATATGGTAAATATCTTACCACATGTTGATGGTGTATTGTTGTATGGTAAATATTTTACCACTTGTTGATGGTGTATTATTATATGGTAAATATCTTACTACATGTTGATGGTGTATTGTTATATGGTAAATATCTTACCACATGTTGATGGTATATTGTTATAGGGTAAATATCTTACCACATGTTGATGGTGTATTGTTATATGGTAAATATCTTACCACATGTTGATGGTTTATTGTTATATGGTAAATATCTTACCACATGTTGATGGTATATTGTTATAGGGTAAATATCTTACCACATGTTGATGGTGTATTGTTATATGGTAAATATCTTACCACATGTTGATGGTGTATTGTTATATGGTAAATATCTTACCACATGTTGATGATGTATTGTTGTATGGTAAATATCTTACCACATGTTGATGATGTATTGTTAAATGGTAAATATCTTAGCACATGTTGATGGTATATTGTTATAGGGTAAATATCTTACCACATGTTGATGGTGTATTGTTGTATGGTAAATATCTTACCACATGTTGATGGTGTATTGTTGTATGGTAAATATCTTTATGGAGTATTGTTTTATGGTAAATATCTTACCACAAGTTGATGGGGTATTGTTATATGATAAATATCTTACCACTTGATGGTGTATTGTTATATGGTAAATATCTTACCACTTAATGGTAAATTGTTATATGGTAAATAATTACCATGTGTTGATGGTGTATTGTTATATGGTAAATATCTTACTACATGTTGATGGTGTATTATTATATGGTAAATATCTTACCACTTGATGGTGTATTGTTATATGGTAAATATCTTATCACTTGTTGATGGTGTATTGTTATATGGTAAATATCTTACCACTTGCTGATGTATTGTTATATGGTAAATATCTTACCACTTGATGGTGTATTGTTATATGGTAAATATCTTACTACATGTTGATGGTGTATTATTATATGGTAAATATCTTACCACTTGATGGTGTATTGTTATATGGTAAATATCTTACCACATGTTGATGGTTTATTGTTATATGGTAAATATCTTACCACTTGATGATGGTGTATTGTTATGGTTGTAAAACAGATGATCAACTGTAGACAGAAGTTACATCTTCCTTCTTTATTCACATTCTGATTAAATATATCAACTAGAGATGATATCACCTGCTCCACGCTGAAAATATAAAATATTAGTTTAATCACCTTCCATGCTTACTCTCTTAAACATAACTAACAATATAATATAATCTTGCTACACGGATGAACCAACATAGTTTGCTACAAGGCATACAAATTCAAGATGTCTTATCCAGGCCAACTGTCCTGCACCCTAGATATGACCAAACCACGCCAGAAAATCCTGAGGAACTTTCTCGACAAACACAAGGAGTGAACCCGAGGCCTCCAAGCTAGTGAAGCAGCTTACTAACTGAGTCACCGCGGCTGTTATACAAATACAGGGAGAGAGAGAAAGGGAGAGAGCGAAACGGGGTCTACCATCCACTCGACACAAACTAGATCATTTCGAGACTAACATATATGGTTCAATTTTTATTTCAATAATTCGATTGCGTGTAACGGTCTTAAGCAACCGGAGGAAACCTTAGGACCCTTAGGACCCGGAGAAAGGTTGTGCAGACGACCCTACTCCTTGTCACGTACAACCGGGGAAACGAAACCATGCCAGTTGACTAAATGGCAGACCTTATGATACAGCCCTGGCGTGCTAACCTTTCGGCCATCCAACCCCCCGGTACAAAAATACAAGACGTGTCAATCTCTACCTGTTGCTGTTTAAAGAAAGGCATCCATATTCTTCTAGTGATAAAACCAGTTCTGTTCTCATTCCCTTATCAATGGAGTCTTCATAAAGAAGCTGTAAGTGTAATTAAAGTTTTAAGGTCACTTCTAGCAATGGTTAATTTATAATATACTAAAACCCGAAACATAGGTTGATGTCAAATACTTACATAAAGAATAACACCACATTTTACTACACCAATCATGCGATTCAGGCCATATTCTGTAGATCTAGTTAAGATTCTACTGACCACAACATTGTGGACTCCAAGTGGGTCATGTCTACCTGTATTGCACGTGCAGCTATCGTTTTACAAGTAAATGGTTAAATAGACTCACTCCAGATCATGCAAATCTTACAAATAGTGGGCATTATCATTTCATGACATGTATATTTACTGCTGCACAAATTTATATGAAAGTTGGAAGATTTCTTCGCATGTAAAATGCAACAAAGTGCTAGAGATTTCTTATCGTCTTATAATGCCCATTTCATTGTGCTATTCACTGTAACTCAATGCTGGCCTGTATAGGAGCTTTTACGCGTGACGTACTTCCGGTGTCTATTTTTAGCCTGGCCTTTTTCTATCCGTATCTTAACATGGTAAATGCTAGGGAAAGCGGGGTTTGCCATCTTTTTCTCTTTATAGAAAATGTATTCTTTAATGCCACTCTTGTTTTAAGTTGTGTGTAGCATTCGAAATAAATTACCGATTTCAAATCATGTCTAAGTTATTATTTTTTTGTTTTAATGACGATATACTGCGTTGTAGCAGACGATATATGTCAAGCTCGCACACGGCCCAGTTGACCACAGTACGCAAAAGCATTACAAAGATGCATTGCTGTATGAAGACGATTTATATGTTTTGTTTTAATTTTACTGCAAACAATTAATAGATAACATTTGTTTGGTTGTAAAATGCCATGAAATAGAGCATAAGAGTAAATTATAGAATGGGTAATTAAAGATGGTGACATGCGGTTCCACGAAAGAATTATTCAAGACGATATTAAAATTTAAGCACGACCGTAGCACATCATGCCACATCTAATAAAAAAAGAGAACAAATAATAATCACGATGTAAAGAATGTACCGAGTCCAGTTACATATTTTCATTCAACAGCTGTTCTCTGAACCAAATACTGAATAAGAAATTGATAAAATGGACACAAATGCATCGTTCTTCTTCTTGGTTGCGGCAAGATAAACTGATTGGATTAAAATTTCACTGAGTGCCAAAAGCTGAGCCAAAACGATTTATGTGACTACAATTAACAGAAAAAAACGGTTTTAAAAATATTCACAGATTCAACTTGATCGTTGTTTTATTCTTTCTGTTATTCATATCCCATCAATCAAGAGGAAAATTTATAAAAATGGTTGAAGTTTTACCCCGTGCACCAAACAACTATTTTATCATTGGTTAGAGCCGTTTAAACGCGGGGAAATTTACAATAGCTATTGGCTAACAGCACGCATGCATAAACAATCTTATTTGCATATTGCATACTATTTATAGTATTATTAGCTGGAATTATTTTCAAGTCGACAGCCTCAAAGAAAGACCAACATAGTACCGTGTTTTGTGTCGAGTACGTAGGGTCGTAGCATGCAGTGTTATAGCAGACGATATATCAACCTCGCAAAGAACTGTCCAGTCGGCAGTTGAATGTAAATAGGATAGACCATTTAAATCTTTTGTGTTAATTAATATATAACATCTGTTTGACTGTAAAATGCGTAATAAACTTCACTTAATTCTAGTTCGGGCCATTGAGCACGGGTCAGTCATCCACTTGTTTCAATTGCAAACGGCCAATTACGGTCTGGTAAATTTGCCGTATCTTTCCTATATCAAATTTTTTGTAAATATCGCTTTCTGGCATCGGTCGGTAAACCTTACGCATATATAGAAATGGCGTTCAGTTCCATTTTATGTAAAAGAAGCTTACTGTACGACAGTATTTTTACAAAAAAACACACACTGGCCTATAGGTTTCAGTTTACGAATAAGGCCAGTGTCTGCGCATAACCGAAAATGACGTCAAAATGGAAACCCGTAAAAGCTCCTATTCAACTGTACTGTAGGCCTACAGTTGTATACTAATTGTATACTTTCTATGATTTGTTAACTACAGTATGGCCTACCGGGTATTTTAAAAATCTTCAACACCTATGTTGTTTAAGGCTTGTAAGTTAACAAAAGAAAATATGGACTGATAACAGGTCTGAACAAACAGAACTTGCAAAACATATTATATTACTATCAGATGACAAAACAGTCAATTTTTTTCAACGGTGTCTAATCACAAATTATGACATGTTTGGTCTTCCATAAATGCTGTCATCTGACAATGATTTCGTCGAATAACTCAAAAAATTGTTTGTAAAATAACTGGAGAAAGCAACCTTTATAAAATCGAGAACAAAACTTTCATCTCCGAATAATTTCTCTGCATCGCCTGACTGTATGTGCTTTCGAACATCACTAAGAACTTGTTTACTTGGAGAAGTGGAAATCCTCCCACTGGGACCGGCCATGTTTACGGTTAACAGTAGTCTTCCATATCCAGACATTCAAGTGCAATTTCGATAAATCAATGTTTTATCATTGCAAAGGCAGCTAACACAAGTCAGTTTCTGACTAGGAAATTGTGTCGTCAAAATAAAATTACGACGAATGGCTTAATTGTAAAAGTTGGACAGTCGTAGAAAATAAATATTAGATTGGGGACGTAACTCCAATTAATATTTCTTTATTGGATTAGCCTCCCTTACACCTCAATATGATTTCCTGAAACTTTCCAATCTGTTTCACAGAGGATTACGACAGAGGATTACGAGTCTTCTAATATCTCTGTAAAAGATGACTACCTTCAACACGTGACATCTCATCACGCGGCGTCAATCATTGGCTCAATGGCGTGTGAATTGTTTACATAAGACCTTACTGGTTCGTGCGGAATGGAGCCTTTTGCCCATTTTAATACCCATTTGCACTAAATAGGAAATAATGTTTACCTACCAATAGTCCTATTTCAAACGTCTTTATTTATTTTTCTAATACATAAAAAAAAAATATTTTAGAATTTAATTTGTCGGAGGAAAAAAGTTAATATTTGTGGCTCATTAAGTCGCATCGATGTCATCCTTATCAGTGACTGTAGCGGCATAGCGAATATTCACTGCTGATCAGTGTGGAAACTTTCGTGTGGCTGGTATTAATATAGCCTGCGGTATCTAAATTTTCAGATCATATAACAGGATGACAAATTGACCTTTATGCACCACGGTTTAAATTTATTATTCAGATCATATAACAGGATACCAAATTTACCTTTATGCACCACGGTTTATATTTATTAATACCGGTAATTATTAGCTTATTCTAGATGTAAAAAGAGAGATCCTAACGTCGTAGTCGTCAAACTGATAAAAAACCTACCGTATAAATAAATGTAGGTTTAATAATTTAGGTTATAAAATATCTAATTAAAGGAGCTAAATCTCTAATTCAATATTTTTTAATGATATTAGAAATTGTAAACCGTATACACTTAATGAACTCGGTTCAATCAATGCAAAACTATAGTAAAATCCACCAGTGCTTTTATTTTTAACTCAATTAAACTAATAGTAAGTGCAAGAGGACCGCGCTACACGTAAAACAACATCTACAAGATAAACCTGCGGACAAGACAGAAAATAGACATTGCACCAAATGAACAAATATCAAATCAAGTGAATGGATCCGGGAGCCAGCCGTAAGCGTCCACTGCGCTGTACAGTCCCGGGCCTGTAGTGACACAGACTTCTCTACAACCATCCCCTGCCTTTTCAATGTTGTTTGCGATATGAAAATGCCGCTCTATCCCCACCTCTGTTCTAAGGCTATTTTGGAATCCACACCTTTTATTTTTTCACCGTAATTCTTTTTTCGCCAAAGGGAATGATTTCTCGCCACATCTGACAAATTTATAATAATTCAATTCTATTTTCAATAAGTAGACATTTTCGATTCAAAACTGATCCGAGCTATCCATTATACACTAAATTTCAGCCTCGGACAGTCCTGGTGTAGCCGCGATCCCAATTGAGTTTAAAGTTACAATTTCATATTTTCTAAGAAAGTCAAAACATAATTATTTCTATGTCTTTAGCTCAATAGGTTGTCAACTCACTATTATACGATTATAGGTTATCTTTCTCACACTTAAAAATCTTCACACCAGAAATAATAACACAATTACCTCCCAATTACCTCCCTTGTTTTCCTATTCCCCACCATGGAATAGCTATCTTCAAGCGTTTGCATTTGAAGTTGAAAATGATATTTTTGCCAATTTCTCAACTGGCAATAGTGAATTATAGGATAATTGGATTAGTCTTTAACAAGGTAGGACTGTTTATAGATAAGTTTAAGTTCATAGCTTTGTTTTCCTTTATATTAGTTTGAGTCTTTCTATGTGTCTATGACTAGTCTGTGTCTACAGTTGTATTCTGTATGACTTACCATGTTTTTATTTTGCAAAATTCAAATAATTTTCTTATATATTTAGCCAGATATGCCGATATATATTTTCATGTGTTCCAAGGTTTGCCGTTGGCAAAAAATGGTTGAGAACCACTGTTATAGATGTGTGTTCTATGAAAACAAACGGAATGATACTTCCACATACGATATAGTAGGCCAGGGGTAGAAACCGTGTACGAATCTGTAGATTAGACCTCAAAAAACATTTTATTACACCCGCCAAATTCGTTCTTAATGTTGTCAATTTTCAGCCAGAGGCCCCGTGCAACCTTAATCCGGCCCCGCTAACTACAAGTTATGGAAATTAGAAATGAAATGAAATGAAATGGGGTTTAACGTCCTACTGTTCTGCTCCTATGCTGGGCTAATGAAGATGGGCATACGCCATACAGTGTGCTATGAGGGAAATTTTGCCCGGACAGCGGTACTACGATCTACTTTTATATCGAATTCCAACTGCCAAGGGATCTTTTACGTGCACGCCAATGTGTACACTGGACCTCGGTTTTTTGTCCCATCCGAACGACTAGACAGCTGTCCTCGCCAGGCCCTCCGTCCTACATCACTGATATTTGATAAGGGGAAACAACGCCGGAAAATTTGGATGAACTTTCTCGGCCAATACAGGAATCGAACACCCGACCTCCAGGCTAGCGAGCCAGCGTCTTACCCACTTAGCCACCGCGATCCCCTATTGAAATTAGAGTAAAAAAAACTTGAGAGCGGGTCCTAGTCCCGGTATTGTTCCTTTAAGAACTTTTATAACTGGCACGCGACAACGTATAATCGGTCAGATTGGACATAAAACGTACGTTGGTGCAGGCCAGGGACCGGGCAAGGGACAACGTATCGTTCGGATTGGATGAAAATACTGACGTACCGTGCATACATCGGCCTGTACGTACAAGAACCATTGACAGTTGGAATTCGATATAATAGTAGGCCGTAGCGCCACTGTCCAGGCAAAATTCCCCTCATGGCACACTTTATGATACATACCTGTCTTCAATAAGTCAGTCGGCGCAGAACAGTATAACGTTAAAGGGACAATAACACTCTTGCTGGCTTGACAGCTCCAGAAAATAAAAAATAGCCTTATTCTAAGTACTAGATGTGTTAGTGTCCTTCATGTCGTGTAAATTATCCATTAAATCCTATTTTACTTGTCCAGAGGGTTCAAAAATATTTTTAAATCCAAGTCACATTTGAAAAGCTTTACGTCAGGCTTTTCAAATCATTTAGTTGAATTTTTTCAATTTTTTAAATTAGGTGTGTTAAGATGAAATTTGTATCATCAGTTAATTGGAATATTGTAAAATAGTGCAATTTGTTGACCAGAATAAAGATTGGGACATATTATTCAGTTACAACAAGAGTGGTATTGAGCCTTTAAACCATATATCATTTCATTTCATATTTGAAATATAAGGAAAAAAACTTTAGCGCGATCCCTGGTATTGCTTCTTTAAGTACTTATAATTATAGAAGTACTTTTACGTTTTCTACTTTAATATGTGTATATATTATACGTATATACATTATCACACCTGAAGACGTTCCGCTCCCATTACTATGATGTATCACTTGATATACCACATCACGGATATACACCAACATCGTCGATCATTAACGGTATGACAATACATACAAATATTTTCATACCACACAAATCTAGATAGTTTCCAATATATAAATATTGTATATCCAGTACCACAAATCTAGGCAGCGTTTAATGGTTACAAAACATATTCATTGATTAATTTCAAGCAGCGACTTTCTTTATCTTTCTTTATTAGTCGGTTAATTAACAGGAAAACAGAGATAGAGAGCGAGCGAGAGAGAGAGAGAGAGAGAGAGAGAGAGAGAGATTAACCTTCACTCGACACAAACAAGGTCATTTCGGCACTAACATATAGTTCAATTTTATTTCAATAATTCGCTTACACGTAGGGGGTCTTTAGCAGTGTGGGGAAACCGGGGGACCCGGAGAAAACCCTCGAGGTTGGACAGGCGATCCCAGGCCTTGACACGTACAAGCGGTAAATCGAAACCACACCAGTTGACTCAGTGACAGACCCCATGATTCAACGCGCACGCGTTAACCACCCCAAGCCTATTTGCAAAGATAGTGAAGTACGGAACGGTTAAGGCTGTAAGGTTAAAGGGATACGGAGCGAAATAGGGACGTGAGGAACGGTTAAGGCTGTAGGGGTAGAAGAACACAGAGAGTTATAGACATTTGGCTCGTATGTAACGAAGAAAATGGGCAACGATCTATCATATGTTTGCCCACTTTTCCACAATAAAAAAAATAAATAAAAATAATCTTTCTGCCGACACATTATGGATGCATAATGGACTCTATTGTTAGGCATCTTAGTCAGTAGCTAATTGTCTGCGATATCACTTCGGTGTAACCGGACATTAAGTGCTGTTTAATGGTCGAGTGCGAGACACGAGGGCAATATCTATATATTACGCAATGTCTTGCAGAGACCATTAAACAACTTAAAATACAGACACTATCCAGCACGTGCATTTCAACTAGTATAAATAATGTACGCTTGGCACATTGCCCACATCTTTATTTGAAATAATGGTAAGCCAGCATCAAAGGATGACGTCACATCTGTATTTTAAATAAAACTATTTCACACAAGTGTAGCTACCACAGAATGAGTTATCTCTGGTCACTACATGTAGATATACTGTCTTTCAACTTCCCCGTTCCTTGTTCCGTTTAAACATTTTATTATATTGTTATTACTAACATATTTAAACAAAAACTTCCCAGTTCCGTGTCTCTTGAAAGTTTACGTTAAAGATACATTATGGAAGATAAGATACAGTGCTGACAGTTCTCACTATAATAGTTAAATGATAGATAATGCAACGGGAATATTCTGCAAATTTCGGTCAAATTACTTCACTCTAAGCCGTGAAGTACTTATTTTAAAAACCTTGTAGCCTCGATTGTCATTGTTGTCGTTGTGACGAAAATATAAATAAAGTCTCGATTATCCACTTTTGCGTTTAATCATCATCGTCTAATGAACGGTAGATCGGATTCAAATCCAGTAGATATCGCAGGATAACAATCGTATCGGGAGTTGATTGTGATTTTTCATGTTAATATATGTCTAATTAAAAGTTTATATAACATTTCAGGCCTAACGGAAGGCCTGCAATAGACAGATTTACCTCTTGCTTAATGTATGTTTAATTAAACAGAATCCCCTTAAAGGGCATATGGTTCTATTCTTTGTAACCTTGTTCATAACAAATGGCGCGAGAAACCATAGAATACACGACTCGTACTTATTATAAAATGTCCATTTTGTCTTAAATATTGAACATTAGTTTCCCATATTTTCCCGACACGATAAAAACATCAATATTTATTGAAAAGGATCAATATTGAATTCTGATTTGTGTTTTGTTTTAATTTCTAATATTATGGAGATATTGAGTTCGAGGTGTATCGCCTTTAATGATGGCTGCAACTTCTGGCTTTATACAGGAATTCACATATACATGTAGATGTCTACCATTGCTCCTTCCGGTTCGTAACCGAATCTGTGCAGTGAGGGAGAGAGAGAGAGAGAGAGAGAGAGAGAGAGAGAGAAATGGGGTTTAACGTCCACTCAAAACAAACTAGGTCATTTCGGGACTAACATGGTTTAATTTTATTTCAATAATTCGCTTGCGCGTAGGCGTCTTTAGCAGTGGGAGGATACCGGAGGACCTGGAGAAAACCCACGAGATTGGACAGGCGACCCTACTCCTTACAGGCCTTATGATACAGCGCGCACGTGCTAATCTTTCGGCCATCTACCCCCCCCTCCCCCGTGCAGTTATACGTAATACAATGAAACCAAGTAGATGTCTGGTTGATTATATTGAAAATATTGCCATTTCATTTTCTATAGGATGAAATTCTATAGTATTCTACATAAATTGTGGAGCTTGTACGAAATAATGGCTCCAAATATTCTACAGTTTCTGTAGTGCAAATCCCATAATTGCTAAAATTTCTAAAGGAAAAAATAAAGTATTCTATAGTTTTTTATGAGAAAAGTGTCACGTTCGTGTGCTTTATCCTTTATCATCAGATGGTGGGATGGGATGGGCATTCAAAGCGCGAGATAGTGATATAGTGATATCACAATTAATGCTTTGTATTAATGAAACTGAATCACAATGTAATTGTATTAATTCATAATAAAAATTGACGTCAGACATGGTGTTGGATTTCTCTCTTTAAACAGTTCAGTGTGTATGTACGCTAAAATGACGATAGAGACCATGTATTTCTCAAAACGGGTACAGTTACTCTTATATCCAAGGGATCTTTTACGTACATGCCAATGTATACACTGGACCTGGGTTTTTCGTACCATCCGAACGACTAGACAGTCATCCTGCACCACTGACAAGGTGAAACCACGTCGGAAAATCCGGATGAACTTTCTCGGTCAGAGCAGGGATTGAAACCGTTACTTCAACTTAGTGTAGACTTACACAATAACACATGCGGAACCCACACTTGTTTCGCTCTATCAATCGCGGTCCTTGGGGTGGGGTGGCTGATGGGCCCTGTGCCATAATGCGTTTCAGCGCCATTTGTAACAAGGGACTCGAAGAACGAGGCCAGACATATTTCCACAAGTCATGTCAATCGGTGACGCCAAATTCTGATTTGGAGAGTATGCGGAATAAATACTGTCGGCGTAGACTGGAATAACCAGACGCTAGAGATTGCCATTCGATTGAGACTTCTGGTGCATTTCGCCGAAAATAACTGATTTGAAATTAGAGTAAAAACGGAAACGATTGAATTTAAATTAGTTTATATACATTCATATTACATTATCATATATGTTGCGACCCATTTGAGTCAATTTCTAGGTATCAAATATTAGTGATTTAGCTCCTTTAACCTACTAGGCCTACAAAATAAAACATGCGTAACCCACACTTGTTTCGCTCTATTTAAAGTGGTCCTTGGGGTCGCAGAATGGCCGATTGGCCCTATAAGGAAGGCAAAGGAGCGACTGTGCAAACGCCGCTACTTTAACTTAGTAGGCCAACAATAAGACATGTGTAGCTGAAACTTGTCTCGCTCTATTAAACGCGGTCGTGAGTCGATATTTTCATTGAGTAAAATAAGTAGAAACAGTGACAGTACTAGTATAGTGTAGTGTCGGTTAATACAGACATAACACGATGATGATGGCCTATAATCTGTGATAATATCATCGCTTAGATTGAAGGTTTTATTGTTTAAAGTATGATCCCGGTCATGTTAACATATCGAAGGTGTGTCTAACAGTGTCGATTAACCGGATGTCAGGAGACATTATCTCTAGTTGCATAGTCAGAACGGTTATTGACAGTTGGGTTGTATACAAAGCAGGACGCCTGGATATGTCGTATTTATCGGACCGTGTGAGTGGGATATGATTTGAAGCCATTCCAGTTCAACATCTGTTAGTGATCAATACCGTGTGTTTAGTCAGTCGACCGAGTGGGATACGATCAACATGGCTTTACGAAAATCTAAAATTTATAAACTAATAATAAACGGAAATCGGGAAGCTTTGGTTAAGGGGATGATGGAGTACTTGCGCAGCGGTAAGAGTCCGAATATCCGTGATCCGGAGACCGGGGGTAATCTTCTTCATCATATTGTGGATAACGCGGATCGGTTCACGGATCCGGAGACATTGACTCTAGTGTACATGTTGGCGTGTAAGGATGTGGAGATAGACGCCCAGGATAACGATGGAAACACGTGTCTACATAAAACAGTGAAAGTTAAAGGTGCACACAGATTGTTGATAGCGTTAATCAGGTAATTATATAAACCGTACTCTGTAGGCGGGGGGGGGGGGGAGGAGGAGGAACATATAGTACGTGTCTCAATGAGTAAGGCGTTGGCTCGCTAACCTGGAGGTCCCTTGTTCGATCCCGGTGTTGGCTAAGAAAGTTCAATTGGATTTCCGGCGTGATTCCCCCGGAGGGCAAAGAAGACCGTATAGTCGTTCGGATGGGACGTTCTCCAGACAAAATTTCCCTCATGGCACACTGCATGGCGTATGCCCGTCTTCATTAGCCCAGTCGTAGCAGAACATTAAAACGTTAAACCCCATTTCATTTCATTCTATTTCTATCGGGATATCGGATGTCACGTGTTACATGGGAATATTTCTTCTTGAGTCAGACATAGATCATAAGGTATGTCATTTATTCAACTCGCGTGGTCTCGTCCCCCCCCCACTCCCCCAACTGGCGTGATCTCGTTCCCCCGATTGTTAGAGGGTCGCCCGTCCAGGTGTCCCCCCCCACCTCCCCCAACTGCTAAAAGACCCAATATGCCCAATCGAATTATTGAAATAAAATTGAACAATGTTTTAGTCCCGGAGACATCGATGTCCGAGCAGCATTTCCCAGATATAACCATGCACGACGTATTTCTCTCTTTATATAGCAGAGTTGGTTCATTGGTACAGATTGAATATAGCAGGAGAGAGAGAGAGAGAGAGAGAGAGAGAGAGAGAGAGAGAGAGAGAGAGGAATATATATGGTTCAATTTTATTTCATTAATTCGCTTGCACGTAGGGATCTTTAGCAGTGAGAGGAAACCGGAGGAGTCGGAGAGGCGACCTACCCCTTGCCACGTACAACCGGTGAATAGAAACCACGCCAGTTGACCCAATGACAGGCCTTATGATACAGCGCGCACGCGCTAACCATTCGGCCGTTGAACCCCTTATAGAACCATGAACGGCATGTCTGTCTTCAAGTCAGTGAAATAAAATTGAACCATGTGCTAGTCCCAGAAACACTTGATTGAGAGAAGTATAAGACGTTAAACCCCATTCCATTTAATTTTCTGTTTACATTATCAAGTTGTGTTAAAATATTTACAAAAGACGACACAATACACGTCTGTTTGTAACTAGGTCAATGATTATATGTATCAAAATATATACAATAGGCCTACAGGCAATCACCATGACTACCAGCCTAACATTCGTATAACAACTTTATTATTTTCGTATTATTTACAGAGATTTATCTAAATAAAACAAACTGACACCTGTTTTACACAATACTAAATTATAGTTTCTTAAAGATACATTATGGGAGATTAGATAAAGAGCTGACTGTTCTCACTATAACAGTTAAAAACTAGATAATGTAAAGGGAATTTGCTGAAAATTTCTGTCAAATTGATCCACTCTGGACCGAGAATTTAACGATTCAATTTTCGGTCTAGCCTCAATCATCATTACTAAAGTCGGTACGATAAAAACAACATAGTCTCGATTATCCAGTTCATAATTAAATCATGAATGAAAGTTGATCAGCAATTCGAATCCCTAGTCCAGTAAATATCACAGACTAGCGATGACATCGAAAGTTGATTATGGTCTGGATAAGTTAATTAATGTCTAATTAATAATTTAGATAACATTTCATGCCTAAAGAAAGACCTGTAATAGGCAGATTTAGCTCTTGCATAATGTATGTTTAATGGTTGTCATCAAATGCCAATCATTCCATGACGAATTCATCGTTTCGCAATTCACTCGGAAGGATGACTCTCCCTAAATGATATAAGTGTTTCGTCGGAAGGATGAGTCTCTCTATAAATGATATAAGTGTTTCTTAAAAAATGACTGGACGTCTTTGTTTTAGGGTGACAAATGAAATACTAAGTCATAGATTCTTAATTGTTTTCATATAATATTGCAAATCATTCCATAGCGAATTAAACAGTTTTGTAATTCCTTCGGAAGAATGAGTCTAGCAATGGTATAAGTATTTCTTTAAATTACAACACTTCTTTGTTTAAGGGTTACATGATTTTTTGATTTAATTATATTGATTATTGATTTGGTTTGTCAAATGGACTAACGTCCATTTTTGTATTTTAGATGGAATTGGCTGGATAAAAGAGAGAGAGAGAGAGAGAGAGAGAGAGAGAGGGAGAGGGGGGGGGGGTTAAACCTCCACTCGACACAAACTAGGTCATTTCGGGATTAACATATTATTCAATTTTATTTCAATAATTCGCTTACGCATAGGGGTCTTTAGCAGTGGGAGGGCCCGGAGAAAAAAAAAACAAGAGGTTGGCCGGGCGACCCTACTCCTTGTCACGTACAACCGGGGAATCGAAACCACGCCAGTTGACTCAATAATGACAGATTTTATGATACAACGCACACGCGCTAACCATTCGGCCATCCACTTGGATATCGGAAGCTAAATCTATTTGTAAAGGTCAGCTCGATTATTTTCAAGGTCGCTGAGATTTAAACAAGTTTATTAGGGCACGTGATTGTTGGCGAGATTGTAGGTTAGGGTTAGGGTAAGCATTGAGGCTACGTCCAGGGTTAGGGTAAGGGTTGGGATTAGAAATGAAATGGGGTTTAACGTCCTACTGTTCTGCTCCTATACTGGGCTAATGAAGACGGGCATACGTCATACAGTGTGCTATGAGGGAAATTTTGCCCGGGCAGCGGCACAATCGCCTACTCTTATATCGAATTCCAACTGCCAAGGGATCTTTTACGTGCATTCCAATGTATACACGGGACCTCGGTTTTTCGTATCATCCGAAGGACTAAACAGCTGTCCTTGTCAGGCCCTCCGTTCTGCACCACTGACAAGGGGAAACCACGTCGGAAAATCCAGATGAACTTTCTCGGCCAATGCAGGGATCGAACACCCGACCTCCAGGCTAGCGAACCAGCGGCTTAACCACCTAGCCACCGTGGCTGCCGGGTTGGGATTAGCACTAGCACTAGCCCTGTTTACTTCTCGTCACCTATGAGCTGGTCTTATCATTTAGCACTAACTTTGTAACTAGGGCGTTACGTTTGGACGCACCTTTTAGTCTGGTGTATTAAAAATACTTTTAATCCCGGGTTCACTTCCAGTGTTGTTCGAGAACGTTCCTGACGATTTTCCATGTTCAGGTTAAGGAAAATCGTCTAGTTGTTGGGATAGGACAAAAAATGAGGTCCCGCGCACTGGTTGGTTTTATCCCGAGTAGTGTTGAAAGACAAGGACGTTAAACCGTTAAACCCCATTTTATGTCATTCCATATCTTCTATAATTATCATTGATATTGTCAGAGTAGATTGATAGGCTTGTTTAATACCCGACAGCTATATTAAAACATAAACACAGGTAGCGAGATGTTTTAAACTGTAAATATTAGCCTAAAGCAAAATGGAAACACTAAAAATATTGCTTATATACAATATATGAGGTTATCGGTGTTTCTAATATCACCTCTTATATAATTTAAATAAGCCATGGGTGCACCTGCACCCAGCCCTAACCACATGGGAAAGCCACGGTGGCTCAGTGAGTAGGACGTTTGCTCGCTAACATCTGTTCGAACCCAGTGTTGGCCGAGAAAGTTCATCTGGATAATCCAGCGTGGTTACCCCTTGTCAGTTGTGTAAGACGAAGGGCCCCAGAACAGAAGGTACACTCTGGTGTACACGAAAAGAACCCTTGGCTGTTAGAATTCGATAGAAGAGTGCAATCTTCCATCAGGGAATAACCCCCCCCCCCTCATAGCACACTGTATGGCACACGTCCGTCTTCATTAGCCCATTCGAAGCAGAACAGTAGGACGTTAAACCCCATTTCATTTTTCCTAACCACACGACCATCGTAGACCTGATCATTGAGTTTATACCGTCTCTTGTATAATCAGTAGGTGGCTAACCTACATCATATACCCGATCAACCAGACATAACACAACCGTAATCAATCAATAATTAAAAAGCTGTACGGAACAATAGTTGAACGAATTGGAGATACAGATAACGCGGTTTATGATATATATATATATAGAGAGAGAAATGGGGTTTAACGCCCACTCGACCCAAACTAGGTCATTTCGGGACTAACATATGGTTTAATTTTATTTCAATAATTCGCTTGCGCGTAGGGGTCTTTAGCAGTGGGAGGAAACCGGATTATAGGACATAGAGAATCTCCTACCAGTCTTTTTTGACATCAAAAAAGACGAGCAGGAGATTTTATTTATCACCCAATCCTTTCTTACATGCACAAATAAATAAATATTATTCTTTGCTATAGGTTTCACTTTTACTGAACGTGATTACATTATGGTGTAGTGATACATCATTTTTTGACAGCAATTCAAGTATTCAACCATTACAAAGTCCTTTATATTGGCCCAGTGTTTCCATCAAGGTTATTTAAATAAAAAATAGTTCCTTTTTAATAATAAAAAAAGAAGTTCCTTTTTAATAAAAACAAATAAGTTCCTTTTTAATAAAAAATGAATTTTTCTTTGAAAATTAAAAAAGGAATTCCTTTTTAATTGACCAGTCCTAAGGAGATATCGCAGTGCATTAGGAAATTTATCAAACAAGCGATATCTACTGTAGAATGTATTATTGGGTGATATACGTAATTAATACAAGGCTATAGAATACACATAATATGTTTAATAAAGAAGTAAAACACTGCAAATAAAAATGGATTAAATATTTGAAGAAAGATATGAATCATTAAGGAGACATTTATGTACATGGCAAGCCTATAATCAACCCTCTAGGCCATAGGATGGTAGTGATTTTAAATGGATTGAAACACGATCCCGTTAACCATGCAGCCACCCCGTCCCCACTCTAAGGAATTATATCGAATTACAAATGCCAAAGCAGTTGGAATTCGATATAAGAGTAGGCCATAGTGCCGCTGTCCGGGCAAACACTCCCCCATAGCACACTGTATGGCGAATGACGATCTTCATTAGCCCAGATGGAGCAGAACAGTAGGACGTTAAACCCCATTTCATTTCATTTATATTCTTTGGAACCCTAAAATGAACGATAAGCACATAATACCCTACCGAGCGGAATCTCTCTCCCGTATTTCAGCACCCGGATTCTAAATAAAGTTAGCAAACATATTCCTTGCGCCAATAAAAAAAACTATATATGTATTTATCTATAATATATAATTGTTATCTGTATATTAGAAAATAATATAAGGGATATAAGGGATCTTTTACGTGCACGCCAAAGTGTACACGAGACCTCGGTTTTACGTCCCTTCCGAACGACTAGACAACTGTCCTTGTCCTGCATCACTGGCAAGGTGGGAACCACGCCGGAATATCTGGATGAACTTTCTCGGCCAATGCAGGGATCGAACACCCGACCTCCAGGCTAGCGAGCCAGCGTCTTACCCACTTAACCACCGTGACCCCCGGAACAGGGAAGAAATTATTTTGCTGCACACGCACCTGGGTCTGTTAATGTGTTATTGTGTTTCGTGGGATGACAACATAATTCCTGGACTGCTCTTCGCCTAATTCCCACCGTCAGGGTTTATTCTACGTTGATACCAACATTTTCAGGCGACCCTACTCCTTGTCACGTACAACCGGGGAATCGAAACCCCGCCAGTTGACTCAATGACAGACCCTATGATACAGCGCGCGCGTGCTAACCATTCGGCCATCCACCCCCCCCCCCTTACGGTGTCAATGGATCGTGCCATTCCATCTCATACCAAATCTTTTCGATTCCCCGGTTGTACGTGACAAGGAGTAGGGTCGCCTGTCCAACCTCGTGGGGTTTCTCCGGGTCCTCCGGTTTCCTCCCACTGCTAAAGACCCCTACGCGCAAGCGAATTATTGAAATAAAATTGAACCATGTGTTACTCCCGAAATGACCTAGTTTGGGTCGAGTGGACGTTAAACCCCATATCTCTCTCTCTCATACCAAATCTATATATACGAACATATTAACAGCACGTGGACATTGGATCTAGTATGGGTGGTTAGGATCTATTATTATGTGCGATTAGGAATGTTGGAATCAATAAGATCAATGTTGTACTTTAAGCCAACATGATAAGGCAGTATTTATATATTGACCAGGGGCTAATAATCATATTGTATAAATCCATTACTTAGACCGTGTGATTTTATATTATGAGAATGTGAATCATTGAGAGAGAGAGAGAGAGAGAGAGAGAGAGAGAGATAGGGGTCATTTTGGGAATGACATATGGTTCAATTTTATTTCAATAATTCGCATGCGCGTAGTGATCTTTAGCAGTCGTATTCATGGACCTTATAATGTATTATAAGGTCCATGGTCGTATCTAAAGAATGTGTATAGCTATGTTGATTAGCTTCGACCCAGCCTACATATTAACCGAGAGCGTAGACAATAACGTTCTGGATGACAGAGACTTGTGCCAATTTGTTATTTCAATTTTTCAATACGTATACTACAATAGTTCCCTTGTTCACAAATGTTTTGAAAGCAGTTTTTATTTTCTATTTAACAATGGAAGTAAGAATGTTAAATCACACAAGGCATAAGTGTCTGTGGTCAGTCAACCGAACAAAATCATTAAAGGCTCAATACCACTCTTGTTGTAACTGAATAATATGTCCCAATCTTTATTCTGGTCAACAAATTGTACTATTTTACAATATTCCAAATAATTGATGATACAAATTTCATCTTCTTAACACACCTAATTTAAAAAATTGGAAAAATTCAACTAAATGATTTGAAAAGCCTGACGTAAAGCTTTTCAAATGTGACTTGGATTAAAAAATGTTTTTGAACCCTTTGGACAAGTAAAATAGGATTTAATGGATAATTTACACAACAGGTAGGACACTTAAACATCTAATACTTAGAATAAGGCTATTTTTTATTTTCTGGAGCTGTCAAGCCAGCAAGTGTGTTATTGTCCCTTTAAACAGTTGACAACATTTACACAATTCTCTTCTAACGTTGAGGGATTTTGGGGTTTTTTTATTTCATTAAAGATACATTATGGAAGATTAGATAAAGAGCTGACAATTCTCGCTATAATAGTTAAACAATAGATAACGTAAAGAAATGGAAATTTCAGTCCAATTTCTCCACTCTGAACCGAGATATCAGTGATTGAATTTTAGGCCTAAAGTCGTTACGATACAAAACAAAGTCTTGATTGTCCATTTTGACGTTATACCATCCTAGCGATGCCATCGAGAGTTGATTATGGTCTGGATAAGTTAAATAATGTCTAATTAATAATTTAGATGACATTTCAGACCTAAAGAAAGACCTGCAATAGGCAGATTTATCTCTTGCATAATGTATATTTAAGTTGGCGACAATTCACGACGAAAAAATCATCTTCTCGCGTTGAGGGTTTCGTTCGTTTAGTAGGCGACAATTCACTACAATAAAGTCGACCTTTAATACAATCTGATTAAAACACAGATCCTATTTCGTTTCGTTTTTTTATAGTTCAAAATTTCGTTTTACTTGTCTTTACTGCACTAGGACCTGGAAGAGTTGTTGGCGAGTTTTTGGCGTGCGATGCACGTCATAGGGTCAAAATCCGCTCGTACGATCCCTGACACGACCTTCCAGTACAACCGACCAGATCTTCACGTAGTGTAGGCCACTGAAAGTATAAAAAACGAAACGAAATATAGATCTGTATTTTAATCAGATGGCCTTTAATATAAAACAGAAAGTAGACATTCGACACGACAAATAATCCGTTGGTGTGTGTTTACCTTTACTGACAGTAAAGTATGCCACGATAGATGGTAGATATTTCTGAACGAGAAGTTTTCTCAACCTACTTAGATTAAAATATAGATAGTGATTCTTATGAATAAATAAACGTTACATCTAACAGAAGCTGGTTTGTTTACGTATAAGCTTAACTAGATATTGAAGTTAAAGCCTCACTGCGTCAGAAGAATAATATGCACTTTCCTTCTTTAAAGTCGCTAATGAATTTTAACGGCCAACAATTCTACATTATCGACCCGCCCGAATGACACCCTGTAACCTGAGTTCCCACCCTGTACCTGAGTTCCCAATTGTACCCGAGTGCCCACCTTGTACCCGAAATCCCACCCTGTACCCGAGTTCCCACCTTGTACCCGAGTTCCCACCTTGTACCCGAGTTCCCACCTTGTACCCGAGTTTACACCCTGTAACCTGCGTTCTCACCCTGTACCAGAGTTCCAAATTGTACCCGAGTTCCCACCTTGTACCCGAGTTTACACCCTGTAACCTGCGTTCTCACCCTGTACCAGAGTTCCAAATTGTACCCGTGTTCTCACCTTGTACCCGAGTTCCCACCTTGTACCTGAGTTTACACTCTGTACTCGAGTTCCCACCTTCTACCCGAGTTTACACCCTGTAACCTGCGTTCCCACCCTGTACCCGAGTTCCCAATTGTACCCGTGTTCCCACCCTGTACCCGAGTTTACACCCTGTATACCTGTCTATTTATAGATGTGGTGTAGATACCGGAATACGAAATGATGAAAGTATGACAGCAGAAGATATTTTATTACATCAGAAACCAGATGGTTGGCAGACTATGTTACATTATTACAATAAATATAAACCAGGTAAAAAAACATTATTACATTTAACTCACAAGTACAGTTGTCTAATCCATCGGATGGGACAAAACCCCGAGGCCCTGTGTACACTTTGACGTGCACGTAAAATATTCCATGGCAGATTGAAATCGATATAAAAGTAGGCCAACGTGCAACTATCCGTGCAAAATTTCCCCCATAGCACGCCATATAGCGCATGTTCACCTTCATTCGCCCAGTCGAAGCTGGGCAGAAGGACATTAAACCAATGTGTACACGGGATCTCTATTTAACGTCCCACCCGAACAACTATACGCTGTTCCTTGCCAGGCCCCTGTTCTGCCATGTTCCTGAAGCAACGACTGCGAGTTTCACAACATCTGGCCGTTGCTTGTTTACTTGATCACAATTCCCGAACTTATAGCTATGTTATCTACAGACACGTGAGCATCGCGACCTCCACGGAAACCTTGACATTGAATGAACCTTGAACTTTGCAACTCGATTATCCCAGGTAGACATTTTAGCTTGAAAACGCGAGACTTGGTATTCGCGACGATCGAGGAATCTGATAGGCTCACAAGTTGGGCTTGTACCCAATCGAAATTAGTGCCGCAATATGCAGAGTATTACGTGAAGGCCTTGATAAGATGTACGTAGTTAAAGCGAGATCAAGCCTTCTATTGAAGATGCTGTTCTGCACCACTGACAAGGAGGAAACACGCCTGAAAATCTGGATAAACTTTCTCGGCCAACGCAGGGATCGAACACGAGACCTCCAGGTGAGCAAGCCAACGTCTTACTCACTGATCCTCTGTGGCCCCTGTCTTCATTAACCCGGTTAGTGCAGAAAAGTAGGACGTTAAACCCCATTTCATGTAATTCCATATTCATTTCATTTCTTATAGGACTGTGGCAGGCATTACAAGCGGAAGCACCCGACCGGAAGTTAGTTGAACGTCTGCTGAAGTCCTGGTGTCGCGTCACGTCTGTTAAAAATGGGAAAGTGACAAGTTTTAAGACTTTATTACAAGACGACATCAAGAAAACCGATTTAATACAACTTATAGAGAGTTATGAAAATACTGTTGAGTTAGCTCTGGCATTAGTTGGTGGAGTTGGAATGATAGTCAGAATGTGGTTAAAACAAGGTAACCGCTTTAGTACACATCGTAAAACTACATTACTCGTCGGGGAGGGGGGGGGGGGGGTAAGGTCGAGCGGTGTTTCGTGGCAACCTATCTTTATATGGTCTGTCATTGAGCCAAATGACTTGTCTCGATTCGTAGCTTGCACATGACGAGGAGTAGGGTCGCCCGTCCCACTCCGTGGATAATTGAAATAAAATTGTAGCATATGTTAGCCCCAAAAGTATATATAGTTTCTGTTGGGTGGACGATACCCCCCCCCCCCCTCTCTCTCTGTCTCGCTCTCTCTGACTGTTCGTCTGTCTGTCTGTCTGTCTCTCTCTCTCTCTCTCTCTCTCTCTCTCTCTCCCGTTTGTTAATCATTTAGACAATTTATTGTCTTTTAGGAATCTGTTTTAAATGCCAGGTGTATTTTAAAGCGATGAGTTTTCTTGCTCGTCTTTCATTATTAGAAAATAATTAGTTCCTAATCAATACACCTGAGTCTGAGTTTTTACCTGTTCACCTGAGATAAATTGATTTAGCCAATTACCGCTTTCTTCAAGTCATTAAAAAGATAAACATTATTAATGCGGCCAAGAAAATAATAAAAAAAACCCATCTATACGCGCAATATGGAATAATGTAACTAGTGGGCATAGATCGGCGACGTGGTGAAGTGCGTGTGTTCCCAATATTAAACTAAAAGCCCGGAAATGCCATTTCCAGTGATTTGAGACAAGAATCCACTAAAATGGTAAGGGTATTCACGAAACCCATCCAACCGACTATCTTTCGAAAACGGTACACTCTTTCCTCTATGATCGCTATCCAATTCGTCTATGTTGACGGGAGTGCAGTGGTTCAAAAAAAAAAATAATTAAATAAAAAAATAAAACCTTCGCCAATCCAATTTCTGAACCCATCCAACCGACTATCTTTTGAAAACGGTACACTCTTTCCTCTATGATCGCTATCCAATTCGTCTATGTTGACGGGAGTGCAGTGGTTCAAAAAAAAAAAAATAAATAAATAAAAAAATAAAACGATCGCCAATCCAATTTCTGAATCATACTTTAAAGATTTTAATGACCATTTCGCTTATTTAGGATTTCATTTATGATTATTTTACAGGAATACTGAATAATTATGACCCGTCCACAGAAGATATAGTTTATCAACAGAGATACCCTGACACCGTGACCGTACCTCAACCTGTTCTAGCAGCCGCATGGGAAACTAACAGTCTAAGTGCCGTGGATGTTATCATGGATTTAAAAACAGATCCTAACGTACTCTATTCACCCAACCCACCGGTTATTCCACTCAAACCGCTTTATTTTAATGTAAGTAAGTCATTTCACCCAAATCTCTTTATAAGTCATTCCATCCAAACGTCTTATTTTAATGTAAGTAAGTCATTCCACCAAAACAGCTTTATTTTTATGCAAGTCATTCCACCTAAACCTATTTGTTTTAAAACATGTAAGTCATTCTACCCAATCCTTTTTATTTTAATGTTAGTCATTCCGTCCAAATCTCTTTATTTTAATGTAAGTAAGTTATTCCGTCCAAATCTCTTTATTTTAATGTAAGTAAGTCATTCCATCCAAATCTCTTTATTTTAATGTAAGTAAGTCATGCCATCTAAACTGCTTTATTTTATGCCAGTCAAATCCTAAAACGCCTTGTTTAGGCGCGTGAACGAACTGCCAAATAAATATAAAATTCTACTGATATTTTTTTCAGATATTAGACAGCGAATTCAGACCAACTAACCAAAAAATAATTGAAAGAATTTTTAAAGATTCCGACTTTTCGAGAAGAAATTCGGAAGGACAAACAATTTTATATGAACTGATCGGTCGAAATGAACCGGACTCTTTGATTAAATTTGTTCTAAATAAGGGTATAAATCTAGCATCACGTGATCGACTTGGTCGGACAGCGTTGGACTTTGCAGAGGAAAATGGTCGAACGAAACATTGTCAGTTAATTGACGACCAAATTATTCGATTAATTAAAACAAAGAAAATATCGGATGTGGAGAAGTTGATATTAGATTCGTATAGTCATTTAAACGATATTAAAGATGGCAGTGGAAGATCAGCCGTGGAAATTGCCAAGAAAAGTTCAACTCGTCAGATGTGTGATATAGTCAAACTAGCTGATGACATACAGGTATATTGATATGGGGTTTAACGTCCTACTTTTCGGAGGGTAGGGTGGCCGAATGGTTAGCGCATGCGCGCTGTATCATGAGGTCTGTCATTAAGTCAACTGGCGTGGTTTCGATTTCCCGGTTGTACGTGACAAGGAGTAGGGTCGCCTGCCCAACCTCGTGGGTTTTCTCCGGGTCCAACGGTGTCCTCCCACAGCTAAAGACCCCGACGCGCAAGCGTATTATTGAAATAAAATTGAACTATATGTTAGTCCCGAAATGAACTAGTTTGTGTCGAGTGGACGTTAACCGCCCCATCTCTCTCCCTCTCTCTCCCTATCTCTCTCTCTCTGGGGTAACGAATCGGTGGAATAAGAGTTATTTGCCCCTCAATCGGATGCAGACCAGTTATTTTATAATCTCGCTCACTTGGCCACAGCTGAATATTGAAATAGATTTTCCACGTTACAGACGCCTGTGATGATGCATGTAGTAGAGGTCATCGAAAGTATGGATATAGATCTGTACTTTAATACATTTGTTTATATTTATAGACGTACATCAGAAGGTTATTCCAATCAATAGAAGAAGGTATTATTGATGACTTAAAGAAATTATTATCCTGTGGTAAATACGCTGCAGCTAAAGATAAAGCTGGTCGTACGCCATTATTACGATCTATACTACGTCACGAGAAAGATATGGTGCTGTATTTAGTAGAAGAACATGATTTTGTTGTTAATGAGTCTGACAATGTAAGTACAAGTACAGTTGATTTTCGTTATGTCGAACGTCAATAACCTATGCATTGATATTCGAGAAAAACAATGTTCGAGTAAAACATGATACCAAAAGTATTCGTCATCGATTCGTTAGGTTATATGACACGATTATGTAAGGGTATTCCAATATAAAAATGAATATCAATATTTATGATATGTCGTAAAACACGAACACACCAGGTTAAATACTACATAATCAAAATATTTGTTTTATTAAAAATAAAAAAATACAGGTCCAAAAATTATTCAAATTTGTTACTACTGATTGATGACTTAAGCCAAGCTCACAACCAGTCGTACTTGTTTGGTAGCTCGCAGACCAGCCGCATGAAACCGGGTGCAAATTTTGTTATGTGCAGTACCAAAAGTCATTACGACCAGTCTGCGATCTCCTACGATGCCGAACACACGCAACTGACGCGTAAGTCCGGCCGTAGCACTTACGGCGGGTTGTGTGCTAGGCTTCAGAAAAATAAAGCAGTCTATTCATGATTCTGCTATAAATCGAATTCTGTCGCGCACACCAGTTCATTTTTAATGAGGGTATTTTTTTATTTGAGTGCGTATAATAAAAAATTTATACTAATATGTTTAAATCTTTATCTTAAAATAGTATATATTTCTGACGTTATATTAAAATAGTATATATTTCTGACGTTATATTGAAATAGTTATCTGATGTTATATTAAAATAGTATATCTTTCTGACGTTATATTAAAATAGTATATATTTCTGACGTTATATTAAAATAGTATATATTTCTGACGTTATATTGAAGTAGTTATCTGATGTTACATTAAAATAGTATATATTTCTGACGTTATATTAAAATAGTATATATTTCTGACGTTATATTAAAATAGTATATATTTCTGACGTTATATTGAAGTAGTTATCTGATGTTATATTAAAATAGTATATATTTCTGACGTTATATTAAAATAGTATATATTTCTGACGTTATATTAAAATATTATATATTTCTGACGTTATATTAAAGTAATATATATTTCTGACGTTATATTGAAATAGTTTTCTGATGTTATATTAAAACAGTATATATTTTTGACTTTAGAGACATAAACAAAAGACCTGGCATGATTACAAGCCTTAAAATCAATTAAAGGGAAAAACTTTGGAGTTATATATATATAGAGAGAAATGGGGTTTAACGTCCACTCGAGATATATAGGAGCCAGTCACCACTCCAGAATGTGTGTAATGTGATAAACTTGTCTTTATGTTCCTAACTCTTTTACGGAGCAGCCGGGGACTATCGGGATTATAACAATGACACTAAGGATGAGTTTTTGTCACGTGCCCGAATGGTTGTACAGCACCCCCCCACCTCAAACCCCAATTATAATGTTCATTTCGTAAGTGAACATTTCCCGGATTTGCAACACCATTTATAATATCTAAGGTACAACAAAGCTAATGTTTTTATCCTGTATAGATCTATTTCTAAAGGCCAACTCAAGGTCGCTGAGATGTAAATAAGGTTAGGACACGTGATTGTTGGCGAGATTGTAGGTTAGGACTAGGGTTAGGGTTGGGAGTAGCGCTAGCCCTGTTTACATCTCGTGACCTTTGACTAAAATTGACGTGGATCTTATGAAATTGACTCAACCTTTTATTCTGGCTTGCATAGTCTTATTTCTGCTTTGACTTTAGCCAATAAGATTTAAGTAAACTATTACAGATTTTAGTTCTCATTATTTAACAACTTGTCAAGATTTCTACTTTCACTTCCTGTTTTAAGATGATTTATCTATATACTTATATATTTATACAGCTTGGTCGATCCCCGTTACATTACGCATACCTATTCCTTGATGACCCGGAAGTCATAGATGTACTGGAAAAACACGGAGCTGACCCGGATTTAAAAGATGTGGTATGTGACCAATTTATTATCCTGATAGCATACTAAACTTAGACTGTCTGTCTACAGTTAGTGCCGCTAATGAACAGACACTAAGCTAGTTGACCGACGTACATCAGTCGAACACACTAAGTATCCTTCAAGAATTTTGTTGAGTATTTATTCTGCTTCCATTTACTAAAAGTGAATAGGTTTATTCAGTCTTTGTGTGTATGACAGATGTGAAACGGAGTAGAACCGCATTACAAAACAATATACTCATTTTTGGATATGGCGGCCAGTTAGGACAGAGATCTATTCTCGAAGTATGAAGTAGATGGACTCTGTGTGTAGAATGACACTGATATATGACTTAGTCTAGTATTATATGTCGTTGATTTATTATATGTTTTACCCTTCATTAATTATGTGGGATATGTTAGTGAGTAAAAATGCGTCCATTGATTGGTGAATTATTATTATTATTATTATTATAATTTCATTTTTAAAGCGCTGCGTTATAGTAATAGTTATTTCTAAGTTCTCTACGGGCACATTTACATATTGGTACAGGCGTGATTCTATTTATATGATTATTATGATTCTTTAAACAGATGAGTCTTTAGTTCCAGATTTAAAGTGAGGTACACTCTTTGATGTCTCTGGGTAGTTTATTCCAAAGTTCGGCACCCGTAATTGAAAATGAAAACTCTCCCACCTGGCGCTGAATGATAAGATTTAGTTCCTATTGTCATTAAAACTTGTCTACAAAAACACAACCAAGCAATAATTTTAATTCAGTTTTTTTGAACATGCACTAGGTCATTTCGGGACTTACATATGGTTTAATTTTTTTTTTCGCTTGCACGTAGGGGTATTTAGCAGTGGGAGGAAACCGGAGGACCTGGAGAAAACCCACGAAGCTGGTCAGGCGAAACTATTCCTTGTTACGTACAACCGGAGAATCGAAACCACACCAGTTGACTCAATGACATACCTTATGGCGCAACGCGCACGCGCTAACCATTCGGCCATCCACCGCCCCCCCCCCCATCCCCCAATTATACTGAATGGTAAACTTAACTACGAGTATATCAGAGGTCGAAATGATAACAATCTGGTTAAAACACAGATCCAATTTCGTTTCGTTTTTTATAGTTCAAAATTTCGTTTTACTTGTCTTCACAACACTAGGACCTGGAAGAGTTGTTATATAACAGACGTTCTGCTTGATGCGAGGAATTAGCCAATGAAACGGTTTGTTACGACAAGTTCTTGGTGTGTTGTGCACGGAACTTTGGGTAAACCACTAGAAACGTCACCTTTGATTGATTAATCAATCTCTGACGTCTTTGGGTCAAAAGCCGCTCGTACACCCCTGACGCGATCCTCCACTACATCCGGTCAGATGTTCATGTAGTGTAGCCATAGAAAATATAAAAAAAACGAAACGAAATATAGATCTGTATGTTAATCAGATTGCAATGATAACTACCCTAATGCTGATTGTATTTATTGTTTTTTTTTATTATTATTTAACTAGCGAGGATTGAAAGCAGGAGATTATAATAGTAATGTTTTATCTAGTCAAGTATATTTAAATCTTGTGAAAGAAGTAGAAGATATAGACTTGGATATTTATATTCATGAAACACAGTTTGATTCACAGTTTAAAACAGCCATACAGGTAATTAAAGTTTGATTCACAGTTTAAAACAGCCATACAGGTAAATAAAGTTTGATTCACAGTTTAAAACAGCTATACAGGTAAATAAAGTTTGATTCACAGTTTACATACAGGTAAATAAAGTTTGATTCACAGTTTAAAACAGCCATACAGGTAAATAAAATGGGGTTTAACATCCTACTCTTCTGCTAGTCATTGGATGATCCGATAAATAATAGTCTGTTTCACATTAATAGGCCATAGTTCCACTGCCCGGGCAAAATATCCCCCATAGCACACTGCATGACGGATGCCCTTGTTCATTAGCCCAGTATAGGAGCAGAACAGTAGGACGTTAAACCCCATTTTAGTCCAGATAGGCAAATAGACCGATCTTTTTGCCAAGTCGATCAGTTTTTCAGTCAAACCAAAATGAGGCCCACAATGGGGGTAATAATTGATTTTCTAATGCTGAGTGGGGCAATTTTTTTGATGCTGCACCTTACCCGCCAGCCCCAACTGGAAAATATGTTTGTGCGCCTCTGACCTTGTCTAAAGTTCTTTTATTAGATTCAGTTTTTGTATTTGATGAAGGTTTATGTTATTTAATGGGACCAGTTAAACATACATTATACAAGAGCTAAATCTGCCAATTGCAGGTCTTTATTTAGGCCTGAAATGTTATCTAAATTATTAATTAGACATTAATTAACTTATCCGGACCATAACCAACTCTCGATGTCAACGCTAGCTTGCGATCTTTATTCGCATAGGATCCCATTTGCTGCTCAACTTTCATTCATGAAATGGATAATCGAGACTATGTTTTTTATCGTACCGACTTTAGTAATGATGCTCGAGGCTAGGCCGAAAATTCAACCGTTAAATTCTAGGTTCAGAGTGGACCAGTTTGACTGAAATCTTCAGCATATTCCCTTTACATTATCTAGTTTTTAACTATTATAGTGAGAACTGTCAGCTCTTTATCTGATCCCCTATAATATATCTCTAATATTGTTTTTATTGTTTTACAGGCCGGAGATTTTGATGGCGTTCAGAAACTTATAACAGACATAAAACAACATGGCGATCCTAGTCGCTATAGCAACGTATTATTTGATTGTATTGATAATGATAAAGAAGATATCGCCGTGTTTCTGTTAATGAGTGGATTTAAAATGGATATTTATAAACAGGTAGCTGTACATATTACATTTCCTTTCGTAGAGAGCGGGTCACGGTGGCTAAGTTGGTAAGATGCTGGCTCGCTAGCCTGGAGGTCGGGTGTTCTATCCCTGCATTGGCAGAGAAAGTTCATCCAGATTTTCCGGCGTGCCCCCGCCCCCCTGTCAGTGATACAGGACGGAGGGCCCGACAAGGACAGCTGTCTAGTCGTTCGGATGGGACGAAAAACCTAAGTCCCGTGTACACATTGGCGTGCACGTAAAAGATCCCTTGACGGTTGGAATTCGATATAAGAGTAGGCCGTAGTGCCGCTATCTGGGCAAAATTTCCCTCATAGCACACTGTATGGCGTATGCGCGTCTTCATTAGCCCAGTTCGGGCAGAACAGTAGGACGTTAAACCCCATTTCATTTCATTTCACTTTCTTAGAGAGCGGGGTTGGATAACCGAGTGGTTAAAGCGTGCGCGTTTGATCATAAGGTGGATGCTCGATTGTCAGACCGGAACGTTCCGAACTGACAAATTTCAATCGTGTGACGCGGAATTTAGTCCTGTCACAGTCCTGTCAGTCCCGCGAAAACTGAGGTGATGGGAGTAGAATCGTGATGTAATTAAAGACAACGAATATGTTTCAGCTGTCACGGTTTCTCATGCGGTCGGCACATGCTTTCTAGCCCTCAATTCCTATTTTCACTCGATTGTCACTATATTGGGGGTTTGACCGAATTCCAGCCTTACTCACTGAGCCACTGGGTCTCTACGAAAGAGAGTGAGAGAAATTGGGTTGAACGTTAACCACTCGGTTATCCAATCCCGCTCTCTACAACGGTTTAACGTCCTACTGTTTTGCTCCAACTGGGCTAATAAAGACGGTAACGCGCCATGCAGTGTGCTATGAGGTCAATTTTGCCCGGGCAGCGGCACTATGGCCTACTCTTATATCGAATTCCAACTACCAAGGGATGTTTTACGTGCACGCCAACGGGACCTCGGTTTTTCGTTGCATCCGAACGACTTACAAGGGGAAACTACGTCAGAAAATTCCGATGAACTTTCTCGGTCAATGCAGGGATCGAAAACTGGACCCCCAGGATAGAGAGCCAGCGTTTTACCCACTTAGCCAGTGAGTAAAACTTAACCATTGTATTTCAATGAATTGTTCAGTAATTATATATTTATACATCAAGCTCCAATAGATAAATTTGTTTATATTATTTCAGTATGATCGATGTGATCCGAATGATCCAATGTGCGCCATGATGGAATGTGGTCACGGAATGTCGTCATTATTAGAACGTGCTAGACAACTCAAGTTCAAAAGAGTAGTCCAGGTCATAGAAGACTTTAAAAGGGTTAGTTCTGTTCTGACGGGTTGTTGTGATTAGTACATTTACATAAATTTTATTTCCACAGGGGGCGGGGGTCTGTCATGGAGTCAAGTGGCATGGTTTCGATTCCCCGCCTGTATGTGACAAGAAGTAGAGCCGTCTGTTGGTTTTCTCCGGATTCCTCCCACAGCATAAGACCCCTAAGCGCAAGCGAATTCTTGAAATTAAATTGAACCATTTGTTACTCTCTCTATCTTTGTTCAAGAACCAACAATTCGTACTCTTTATACTTTCAGGAACAGATGGCACGAGCAAGTACATCTAGATAAAGATAAATTAAAGATGATATCACGTACGCGACAGGGGATGTGCCACGGGGGTCGAGTGGAGGCGGGGTGGGGGTTCTTTGGCTACTCTCAACTTCGCATTAACGTTCTCAAGTTGTCAACAGCCGAAGTCTGATTCCCATAAAACCACCCTCAAGGGACGCCGTGAAGTCAAAAGACTATCTTTATAGTTCTGGTTTTGATATTGATATTATAAATACCTTAACAGTTCTGGTTTTGATATTGATAGAAATCAGTTTTTGATATTGATAAACATCAGTTTTCGATATCGATAAACATCTTCTGTTTTTGATATCGATAAACAACTGTTTTTGATATTGATAAACACTCTTATGTTATTGATATTGATAAACACCTTCTGTTTCTGATATCGATAAACATCTTCTGTTTTTAATATTGATAACACTTTATGTTTATGATATTGAAAAATACTTTCCTTTTTTTAATATTGATAAACACCTTCTGTTTTTTTTATATTGATAACACCTTCTGTTTTTTATTTTGATAAACATCTTCTGTTAATTATATTGATAAACATATTATGTTTTTAATATCGATAAACACCTTATGTTTTTATATTGATAAACATCTTCTGTTATTGATATTGATAAACACCTAATGTTTTTAATATTGATAAGTTTTTGATATTGATAAACACAATATTGATAAACACATTATGTTTTTGATATTGATAAACACCTTATGTTTTTAATATTGATAAACACATTATGTTTTTGATATTGATAAACACCTTATGTTTTTAATATTGATAAACACCTTATGTTTTTGATATCATGGCGTATCATATCCACAATATCTAAAATAAAATAAAGACATTTTTCTTAAGATGAAACTATTTATTTTTTTAAAAAGATAACATTGTTAGATTATCATTTATCAAAAATATCTAAAATAGATTAAAGCCATTCTTGTGAGATTATTATATATCATGTAACAAGTTCCTATGTCCTTTAATTTATTTATTCTCCTGTCATTGATCATGTAATATGATTTTCTTTTTACCTTTTCAAAGTCATAATGGATGAATTCTATTGGAAGTATTAAAATTATGCAATTCAAATTGTAGAGTAATCTTTCATTATTGTAAATTGATAAGGCAGTGGTTCACAACATATTTTGCCAACGGCACACTTTGGAACACATGGAAAAATAAGGGCACACCTGGCTAAATATATTGGAAAAGTATTTGAATGTTGCATAATAAAAACATGGTAAGTTATACGGCATACAACCGTAGACAGAGACACTTAGAATGACTCAAACTAAATAAAAAAGAACACTGCAGTCATGAATACTCAATTGGGATCATTGGTTTTTCGCATTTTCTTAGTGTGCAGTTCGAAATTTCGCGGCACACTTAGGAAGCGGCACACTGGTTGAGAATCACTGTTATGTTGTAACAATTATGTTGTAAGGTTAAAGTACTTATGAAGATTAATTAAGTTTGAAAGGAGAATAATGATTTCCTAATGTTTTAATTGTTTATTTGGCTGAGTGAGACTGGGTCACCAACCTGGAGGTGTGGCGTTTGAACCCGGTGTTGACCGAAAACTATGTCAAGATTTTCCAGCGTGGTTTCCTCTTGTCAGTGAGGCAGGAAGGAGGGCGGGTTGTTTAGACGGGACAGGATAGAGGTCTTGCCAAAGAAAAACGCGGGAATGCAAATGAAATGAAATGGTGTTTAACGTCCTACTGTTCTGCTGCTACTGGGATAATGAAGACGGTCATACGCCATTCAGTGTGCTAGGAGGGAAATGGCCAAAGCTCATTGATGATTAAATGCAAAAGTGGATAATCGAGACCATGTTTTTTTTTATATCGTACCGACTTTAGTAATGATGATCGAGGCTAGGCCTAAAATTCAATCGCTAATATCTCGGTTCAGAATGAATCAATTTGACTGAAAGTTTCATCAAATTCCCTTTACATTATCTAGTTTTTAACTATTATAGTGAGAACTGTCAGCTCTTTATCTAATCTTACATAATGCCCCCTTAAGAAATCTTAAATACGTATGCCCGGGCTATTGGCCCCCTCCCCTCCCATACCTCTATTCCCCTCTCCGCACGTCACCGATATATGTCGACTAGTTACATGATTCCATTTTGCGCGTATAGATGTTTTTTTTTTCTTTTATCATTTTCTTTTATTGGCCGCTTTAATAATGTTTATCTTTTTAATGACTTCAAGAAAGCGGTAATTGGCTAAATCAATTTGCCTCAGGTGAACAGGTAAAAACTCAGGTGTATTGATTAGGAACTAATTATTTTCTAATAATGGAGGACGAGCAAGAATATTCATCGCTTTATAATACACCTGACATTTAACACAGATTCCTAAACGACAATAAATTGTCTAAATGAGTTACAAACGAGAGAGAGAGAGAGAGAGAGAGAGAGAAATGGGGTTTAACGTCCACTCGACACAAACTAGGTCATTTCGGGATTAACCTATGGTTTTTAATTTTATTTCAATAATTCGCTTGCGCGTAGGGGTCTCTAGCAGTGGGAGGAAACCGGAGGACCCGGAGAAAACCCACGAGGTTGGACAGGCGACCCTACTCCTTGTCACGTACAACCGGGGATTCGAAACAACGCCAGTTGACTCAATGACAGGCCGTATGATACAGCACGCACGTGCTAACCATTCGGCCATCCAGGCCCCCCCCCCCCCCCCAGAGAGAGAGAGAGCTGTAACGTCCACCCAATAGAAACTATATTCCGGGGCTAACATATGCTACAATTTTATTTCAATTATCCGGGGTTTAGCGTCTACTCTACTTTAAACTACGAACTTTAAATCCAGACAAATCGACAAATTTATAGGGATAATATTTAGTCATTTTAAATTTAATATTCATTAGACATGGAGCGTGTAATCGAAACAAGAAAGATGAACAACATAGCATATACAATATTACCTGTTTTAAAATATGAACAATGTTACAATATTAACTGTTTTAAAATATTAACTGTTTAAGATTGTTTAAAATATCAACTGTTTAAAATATCATCTGTTTTTAATAATCCATTTACTGTGTTACAATATTAACTTATTCAAAATATCAACTGCTTTAAAATATCAACTGTTTTAAAATGTTTTAAAATATCAACTGTTTTAAAATGTTTTAAAATATCAAATGTTTTAAGATATTAACTGTTTAAAATATCAACTGTTTTAAAATATTAACTGTTTTACATAATTAACTGTTTTAAAATATTAACGCTTCTCTTCTATTATCTGTTTTAAATATAAACTGTTTTGAAATATCAACTCTTTTAACATTTTAACTGTTTTCAATATTGTATTAACAGTTTTTATGGGAAACAACCACTGGTTTTCTTCTAAAAGCACGACGTTTCGACAAGTAGGGGATCACGTGGCTAAGTGGGTAAGACGCTGGCTCGCTAGCCTGGAGGTCGGGTGTTCGATCCCTGCATTGGCTGAGAAAGTTCATCCAGATTTTCCGGCGTCGTTCCCCCTTGTCAGTGATGCAGGACGGAGGGCCTGACAAGGACAGCTGTCCAGTCCTTCGGATGAGACGAAAAACCGAGGTCCCGTGTATATATTGGAATGCACGTAAAAGATCCCCTGGCAGTTGGAATTCGATATAAGAGTAGGCGATAGTGCCGCTGCCCGGGCAAAATTTCCCTCATAGCACACTGTATGGCGTATGCCCGTCTTCATTAGCCCAGTATAGGAGCAGAACAGTAGGACGTTAAACCCCATTTTATTTCATTTCATTTCGTTTCGAAAAGTATCCTCTGATCGTTACAATGATAACAACAATAAGAGGAAACTTGCCACTTAAAGAATATTTAAATAATCTACAGTGTTAAAACATTAACTTTTATATAATTCTGTGCTGCATTCTCCACTTCCTCTCCTTTCTTATCGCATATTTTTTTTCCGCATTGTCCCACGTTTGGACTAATCTTATCGTTTGTGGTATCGGTTTCGCGGCACGTGACAATATCGATTTAGAAATTAGTATTCAATTACAGGGGCGTGTGACATTTAGCGATGTTTTGTATCTGTATTGTCATTGGCTGGTCAGAGCAAGAACTCTTTCGATAATGAATTGAAATAAATCCCAGTGGAATTATTTTCACCTCTGATATTAACCACCATTTCTAGCTTGTGTTTGAATGTCATTCGGTCTAACTAATGCGACTCCTTGCTTTTAACACTCAGGTTAGTTCTATTTATTGTAATCATTTTTTTTTTTGTTATGATTCTGATTTTATTACCATGAAACAATATAAGTTTAAAAAACGAACTTAATTTTTGTTCTTCACATCGGAAATATTTATATTTCATTATATCAAAATAACCAACTAAATTTGTATAAATTCTGGTAACTGTCCCGAGGTACAGTAAATTTATCTTTGAATATTTCGCCATTTCAATTAAAAGGAGTCACTTGTAAACTACAATATTGCGAAAGATTAATCTCTAATAGGAATATCATTCCAAAACGATTAGTTCCGTTCGGTATTTACAAAGATATCTTTGCTGCTCGCTATGCAATAAGCCCATCGCATGTCTTAAATCCGACTGAATCCAAACCGACGGGACATTATCTAGGGTTAGTATTTCGATTTTGTTTTCTTAATTATGTAAAATAATGAATCTGAGTACATATTAGATCGGATTAAGCCATGAGGAATTAGATATTTCGGCGGCAAATGTCAATTGCGTATACAGTGACTTCATGGAATAACTTGAATAAAAATACAACCAATCTCTAGTTATAGCCAATGAAAGTTCAAATTTGTAATAATATATTCTTTGAATGGCATTTAGTAATTGGAACATAATCAAAAACACACTTTTATGGAATAACAATTACTATGGTTTATTTCACTGCGACGTTTCAACAAGTTTTCACAAGTCGTTATCAAGCATATACACGTGTAATAAGCATATACAGTGAAATAAACCATAGTAATTCTTATTCAATAAAAGTGTGTTTTTGATTGTAATGATATATATAATAATAGTGCACTTTTAACGGACTAAACTCCATACACTAACTCATTATAACATTTTTGGGTCTCCTGTATTTAATAAACTCTTGAATTACAATAAGGCTGGTGCATCTCTACTTTCTGGTGGTAGTTTATTCCAAAATGTTGCTGAGTTATACTGGAGTTATAATCTTAATTTATCTTTTGGGAAACAAACTAAGTTTTTGGTTAGGCGATCGTAGTGTTCGGCTAGGATGATCATTTGAAACAAGTTCCGATAGACAACTTGGTGTGGTTTGGTGAAGACATTGTAACCTCAGAACGATCGAAAACCAAATGATTGTTAATCGTAATTGGACAGTGTTATAATAAAATAAAACCAAGTACGAACAATCCAAACCATTAGACAAAATTCGAAGTCCTAAAAAAAACAACGGTATAGGCAAAATAGTGTAATCAGCAAATGGACTGTTCACCGTGTACAAAATATACGACAAACGGCGGTAACAGGTGTATGGAAGAGTAAGCTTATCCTAACAAATACTTATAGAAAACAATTACTAATA